AAGTTAGTTCAAATGAATGACCTTGACCAACTTTCAAAGGTCAAAGGGGTCAAATGTCATAAAATCTTCAAACGACTTCTTCTCAATAACCAAAAGGCCCAGGGTACTGATATTGGGCCTGTAGCATGCTGGGATGAAGGGCTACCAAGTTTGTTTAAATGAATGACATTGACCCACTTTCAAGGTCACTGGGGTCAGATGTCTTAAAATCTTCAAACAACTTCTTCTCAATAACCAAAAGGCCCAGGGTACTGATATTGGGCCTGTAGCATGCTGGGATGAAGGACTATCAAGTTTGTTCAACTGAATGACCTTGACCAACTTTCAAGGTCACAGGGGTCAAATGTCGTAAAATCTTCAAGCGACTTCTTTTCAATAAGCAAAAGGGCCAGGGTACTGAAATTGGGCCTGTAGCATGCTGGGATGAAGGATTACCATGTTAGTTCAAATGAATGACCTTGATCCACTTTCAACCTAATGTCCTTGTTCGACAATCAAGGTCAGAGGCGTCATATGTTTAAATCTTTTAATAGGTTCTTATGAAATCTTAAGATTACAAGTGTTAGATTAATAACAGGTGAGCGATGCAGGCCCATTGGGCCTCTTGTTTTTTATATATTCTCTAGCGTACTCCTTGCGCTATATTTTGACCATTTGGCAACTTTTCGCTTCGTAGCTGACACAGTACAACACTTTTCTTTCGCTTACTTCACACGGCCAGTCATTTTGTTTACAAAGAATTTGAAATGGTGTGCTCTGTGCATGCGCTAGTAGAGGGAAATCCCTGAACAATTTGAATCTATTTCAGCCAAATCCGATCGTTATTTTCCATAAGGAGTCTCACTTGATATGTTTATGTAGTATTTGAAAAAAAAGACACAAAATAAAATTACTTCACCGTGATGCCCCTTTAATTAATAATATATTATAAGTAGTCAAAAATGTATCTATTATTACGATGTGAACAGGTAACCTTTTTTTAGATCAACAGTCTGTTTTAGAACTTGGTAAGAACACTGATTGTTATCATTGAACTATTCCTTTTTCTCTCTCCCTAGGTAGTGTAGACATGTTAAGTACAAAAGGAATGTATCACAAGTGAAAGGGACTCGATACAACTTAAAATGGATGTGATTGATGAAAATGCTTCCAAAATGCAACACAGAGAGAATGCATCTGAAGGTGCATTGCAAGAGGTTGCTAGCGCTACGGACACTGAATTGACGGAGCTTACAACGGAAACCAAAGCGACGCATTCAGTGGAAACATCTGTTTGGAGGGACACTGTAGAGAGTGCACCTGTAGAGGAAGTGTTGGAGAAAAGTATCCAATTTGACACTGAGGCCCCAGTAGACATAAATGACATTATTGAAATACAACCTAATGACGAAGCAACTTTATCAGAAGATGGCAGCTCAAGTGCTGATATGTTCAAGGGAGAAGACACAAACAAAAATGTTTATCAAGACAATGGGTCAAAACCAGGAGATTTTGATGAAGACAAAAATATAAATGTTAACCTGTCGGGTGAAACAGATGATGAAATTGGTGATAATTGTGCTGTAACAAGTAGTTCTGTTGACAATAATGACCAGGGGGGAACCGTAGATGTGGACCAGACAAAAACCTTTGGAAAAGAGAGCGATGGTCTAGCCATCACTGGAAAGGAATCGGAGAATGTGAAATATGCTAATGATAAAGGTATCAACACTGGCAGTATAACTGATAGTGCCTCTGAAGATGAAAATGCTTCGCAAACTGTTTATGACACGACAATCAATGATAGTAATATCACTGACAATTTTATGGAGAATGGTGAAGAAAATGGAATAGTGATCAACGACAAAGACATAGTGACAGCTGCCGATATGTATGGTAGGGGGAAACGCTCAAAACCTGAAAGAAAGTCAATGGAAAATTTGTCTGATGATGAAGACGATGAGGAAGGGAATTCTATATCTCTTCGAAGCATGAAAGGTGAACCAAATTATGCCAAAAGTCCATACTCAAGGAGCCCAAACAAAAGAAAATATTCAAGTCCAGGTAAGTAAGTCTTGTCCTGCTGTATCGTCCTATAGAGTACCAAGACACCCTGTGCTGAATTGTTAAAAAAGATGAATATTTTGTTTTTAGGTCACCTGAGCTTTGCTCAAGTGACCTATTCAAATTCTGATCGCTTTCTGTCCGTCGTCGTGTGTAAACTTTTTTACATTTTCGACTTCTCAAGAACCAGTGGATGGAATTTTTTCAAACTTGGTCAGAACTATCCTTCGTAGATGAGGTTACAAAATTGTAAAATTGGGATTCCTACCCCAACCCCTGGGGCCAGGGCGAGGCCAAAGGGAAAATTAACCAATATTTCAAAAATCTTCTTCTCCAGACTCAGAGGTACTACAGTCATTTTCTCTGCATAGATGGAAAGATCATCATGGGTTTTATTTAAATTGTAAATTTCAGTACCCTTGGGCCATCCGTTCTCCCTTGGGGAGGGGGTAAAGTTTACTATAGTTCATCTCAAGACCCAGATCAGGTAGAATCAAATACTCTTCATAGATGGAAGGGTCTTAATATAAGGTGCTTTACCAAAATTCAGCTGACTGGCAGAACCAATATTTGTACATAGTACATATATCTTTCACACTACTTTTGCATTACATGTAGTTCAAGTTACCTTTGTTACACAATGATTTCTTTTTCATTTGGCAACTTCGATAACGTCAGTTTTTACATAAATCAGGTGTCCGTTAAGGCCAATGGGCCTCTTGTTTAGAATTAACTACATACTATTTTTTTTCCACTCTTGTTAAGAGTTTTCTTTCTCAATTTTGCTTCGCTCACGATTGATGGGTTGCAACGCGGAAATGGTTTGCAGCTCTGCGCTGTGATGGAAGGGTTTAATAATAGATGCCAAAGCACATAAAAAAAAATCTGGAGAGAACACTGATACCGCTTGAGTAATATTGATTTTTCTGGTAAAGAGACAAATATTTGACTGGGTATTCATGTAATTAATTTCCCCATATACAGTATATAGTTATAAACATCAATGAATGAAAAGTTAGATGTATGATACATGATCAATAATCACGTTAACATAATTGTCTTACATACCATTTCATCCCTAGGTATGTTTTGGTCTACAGATCCGAAGTTCTTTTATAATTAAATATTGTTGACTATTCTATTTTTTCCAAAAATCCATATAATTAATTTGCGCAATTATCTTTTTGATGATTTTCTGTTTCATTTTAGGGAGAAAACCAAAAACATCAAGGAAGTTTTTGACTCGTAACTTTGATGAAGAAAAAGTCCTTTTACCACTAAAAGAAGGTACATTCAATTGTTATGTGCATGTATCAACCATTTGATTTGTATGTAAGTACACATATACATATCTACCATTTGATCAAATACTATTTCAGTACATGTTTTGTATAACACAGTCATGTGAGGTTTGACAGAATTGTTGTATCCTAATATGAAATTCCTATTAGAGAATATATTTTGTCAGTGTTGTATCCTTTGCTAAATTACTATTAGTGAATATATTTTGTGTTGTATCCTTTTGTAAAAATTTCATTTAGTAAATACACTTTGTGAGATTGTGCTTATTTGACACTGATCATAGATAACATATGTGTACTTTGTGATATAATTATATAATTATTAGATTTAAAGGCAAAAGAAATACAAATTGACTAGTGTGGAAGACCAACTAAAAATTTTGATTTGATGTCCAGTTTATATGAAGTAAACAAGAATTTATTCATTTGTCTAGGATGGAGAAGAGAAGTGGTGATCAGGAATGTGTTTGATAAGTTTACAACAGCGGGTGGAGTTAAACAGACTCCAGCAGATGTGTACTACCACCCGCCCAAAGGCAGAAAACTTGTAAGTCATGATTTGATGGAGGAGGAGGGGAAACATCATTTCCCGCTCAAAATCTTTGCATATTTAATCCATTTTTCTTAAAATCAGAAAAGTGTGTTATGAGTAAATCACATGAATGATGAATTCAAAAGACTTGTAAGTTTTATTAAGTGGAATGTAAAATGGCTGGTCTTTGGTAACTGCTAGTGATATTAAATTTCAGGCAATGTCTGACTTTCTTTTCAAATTTCTTAAAAATTCCCTTTGACTTCATACATGACTACACTTTGATTACAAAAAATCTTTAAATACATGCTATAGCTTTTACTACAGTATGTATTATTCATGTGTAATATTTGAGTCTAGAATCTGAAAAGGAAAAAGATGTCATTGTACAATTGTGTTAAGAAGCTAAGAGAACAGTGAGACATGTCTAATCTTACCCGTCAATAGTGGATTGTTCAATCTGATTAATTAAATCCACATAATGCTTATAATTATTGGCATACATTAAAATCACACGTCCCTTAAGGTTTAATATGTCCGATCACACAAATTTCACTATAAAAGGGTTGATCTTGGGCAGACCTCATGTGTAGGGATCCTTATCTCAGTTACCTGATGGTTTATGAGGAAAAAATAACATTGGAAAATAAAGAAAGTATTAATGTGCTACTGAATAATTGTCAATTTTATGATAATGTGCAAGTTTTACAGGTTGAAAATTGAAAGTTTTTCAAAAGACATTGATATAAAGGCCATTGAAAAATTATAGGCTACTAATGATGTTTTGTAAATCAAAAGTTTGTTTTACTCCGATCATTAATGAAATAATATAACATCAAGTGATTGTTACTGTAGGCATTGTATTCTCTAAAACTATTTTTTTACATTTTAGAGATCCATGAAAGAAATTATAGATTACTGTAAGTATACAGGAACTAAATCTGAATGTTTGAGTGCACAGGGCTTTGTATATCAATGCACCTTTGTTTGTAGGCCTATTAAGTATTTTCTATATTTCTCTTCCAATAATATAAGCCCACAGGGCCAGCACAATCTCCAACTCAAAGTAGGATGGTGGGCTAGTTACAGGACAACGAAGTAGCATTTGTTGGCATTTTCACTGTAAATGATACCGTTGGAAGTATGGTCCCACTCTAGCTACAAACAGAACACATTACATCTCCAGCACACACGCAGGCATACACACTTAGGGAGATATTAGCCAGGTGGTATAGGACAAGTAGTTAGCGCCTGTTAAGGCAGCTCCTGCAAATTTCTCAAAATTGTATTGATTAATGTATATGCTAATTGTATTCATTGTATTAAATTGTATATCTATGTACTGTAAAGCGCTATAGAGTGGCTTATGTTAACTAAATAGGGCGCTAATCAACTCTAATGAACTAGTTTTTGAATTGTATCAAAGACTAGAGGTTTATCGAGAAAAACATGTGTTTCTCCTGGAAATACATTATTCCTGTTTCTGATCAGGGAAACAATTGCCAGGAATTTCAATGTCACAATGGAAGATGACATCACAAAGCATTTTTACTTGACATCATAATTATAAGATTCATTGCAATAAGATCCGGTGTTAATTCCCTGCTAGTGTAACCAGAAATGTTTATGAACTCTGAGCTGTGAACCAATACTTTACTACTAATTAACTGATTACTTTTGGATTGTAGACTTTTGCTGATTTTTATGGTTTGCTTCATTCACAAAATATGAAAATTAAAAACATCCAAACTCTATCCAGACCCCATAAAATGTTTTTTAATGAACTGTTATCAAAGAGTTATCCCCACCCGTGTATTGATCATGTGTTTTCATTCTATAATGATTTAGAACTTCACACAATTACAAAGGACAACAATATCTCGGGACAAGTTCGAGTTTCAGGGTTGTCAATAATTTTATTTTATATAATTCCACTATCATTATACTAACATTACAATTTCTTGTAGTATTATTATTACATTAAAATCAGTTACAAGCTAATTGTATACTTTTCATTTTCCCAAATTAACCCCAAAGGGCACCATTTTTGTAAATCATTACAGTCTAATAGCTAGCGGGGGCCGGCAGGGGACATGTATTGCTTTAGCAATACTCAGTATGCTTGTTTTTCTGATCAATGAAAATTCTCAGTGTTGCAGAAAAATCTGTTCAGTTGCCAAATCATCAGTCATTGTGTTTTTTATGCTTTAATTAATGTCAAATTTGGATATCAAGTACACTCTTTCTGCTTCTGACTGTTGTTATTTTTTTGGTTTGATTTGAAATTGCCAGATAAACAAAGATCTTAATGACCTCTTCTGCGATTAAAATAGACCAATTTAAAGAAAACTTAAAGTATGAATGAACTTCTTATGAGTCCTGAACAGGGTGTGAATTCAAGTTTAATCATATGGCAAGATAACCATGTGACCCCTGTCCAATTCTCAAGTTACACCAGATTAATTATAACCAAAGTTAGACATATCACTAACAAATTTTATTTATTCATTCTTTTGTTTCAGTAAAAAAAACTTGTTCTCCCTTTACGGAAGACAATTTTTCACTTCTTCGGCGTCCAATATCTGAACCTCCATATGAAGTAGTGCGGCATGCTGGAAAATCGAAGGGTAGATCTACTATGAAAGACGAAGATTCCTCATTTGATACATCATTTGACAAGCCAGAAGTTGTGATAGAAAGAGCAGATGATGAAGAAGAAGAAGATGAAGAAGAAGAAGAAGAAAACAATGAGGAAGTCAAAAAAGAGAAACCATTGACCTCAACACCCGTATCATCCATTTTGAAACGTGCAAAGATAAAAGTGACCCCTATGAGATCAACCTTTAAGTTCAAAAGCAGGGGTAGACCTGCCAAAAGCAAGCCACAACCACATTTCCCAAAAACAAAAAACCTTCTTTATCGACATTCATCAAAACATGGCTACCATGGAGTAACAGAGACACTAATAAAAGATGTTACCGTGACGATGCCAGATCTTTCCAGACAGGATAGTGACTTAGATGACTCTAGCATGACTGAATTACCCCCAGCAAAGAGATTCAAGGCTACTGCACGCAAGAGTACTACTCAGAAATATTTCAAACCCTCTGCTCGTAATTCTAGGTAAATAAGATGGATGTTACAAAATTAGTTTATTTTGTAGTTTGAAACACAGAGATGTTGCAGGAATTTTCTGTTAACATACCTGCGTTGTACCATCCTCCAACTGACAGTTTGTTCTATTCCGTCTTTGCGTATTGCAGAGTTATCTTCTCTTGTGAGCAGTTATTGATTGTTACGTCATTGGTTTGTGTGAGAAAATTATGTTGTTTTCTCAAAAATTGATGACGTTACTCTCACAAACAAATGACGTAACAATCAATAACTGCTCACAAGAACAGATAACTCTGCAATACGAAAAGACGGTTAAGTAGTTCAATGCATTTAAAAAGCTGTGATAATATAAATCTTCCTCTGCATTTATTGAAAATTGGGTATTCAACAGACAACCATTAAATATCTTGATCATCAATGCTAGACAGATAAGCCTATTTGTCATGATCCCTGTACAATGTGCTGAGAATCCAGCAGTATTTATACCTGGTGTGGTTTTGTTTTCAGTCAACAAGCAGAGGCCCTATGTACATTGTCGTGTCCAGGCCAGGAGAACATTCCACCCAGTCTCCAGTGTGTGGCATGCCTGTGTCTGTTCCACCCACACTGTGTGGCCTACACTCCATCGCAAAACTCACACTTCACTTGCCTGGTAATAACCGAGATTATATTTAAGTGATAGGGCATTTGATTTGGATTTTTTTAATAGCATGTATGAAGCATTTGCAATGAATGAATATACTTAAATTGTAAGCTGAAATAATAATGCTGTCAACGTTTACAATGAATCCTATTAATGACATCACACTATCAGATGTATCTAAATTTAGTAAAAGTAAATTTATTATCGTAAAAAATATTATCATATAATTTCTGGATATACACAATAGCTCTACCAGCTGCTATGTAAATATTAGATCAGGGTTGGATACACACATGTTTATATGCCATAAGGGGTAAGGGTATTTCACAAATGTTTGTAATGGATTTGCCTAAGGCTTTATTGTGGTACTGTACACTCTGGATGTAGTAATTAAATCTGTGGCATAAAAGGACTAAACGCAAATTGCTGAATGTATTTGAAAAATACAATTACATTTTGAAAAAAATGTTTTTAATTTAACTTTAATAATACAAAAGCCTTCCTCCATACATCGCAAATTAATAACATCAAAACATTGGAGACAACATCAACAGATATAATATTTACTTCTTCCATGTTGATATACCCATATTTTAGTAGAAAATATGAGCAAACAGCCTGTTACTGTCACCACAGACAGAGGACGTATATGCTACTCTACATCAATAGACACTTTACACTACTGTATATTTTTGGCAATAAGTTTCTTTTTTAAGAAAACTATATGCAATATAAGGTTGTTGAGATTACATTTAATTAGTTGTGAATTGAACTTAAATTAGCATACAGGTAAAAAACTAATGTTAAAGTTATTGCTATTGCTACATGTAGCAACTGATTTCCACACAATATCACATTTACAGGAAACTGTAGCTCCAGACCAGTCTAACCAAATTAATTGTTATTTGTCTGTTTTAGAGGTGTTATGATCCGTCTCAACTTCAGCCCAGAACTAAAACCATCACTGTGATGAGAGTCGCACCACCCACTCAGAACTCTGTCAAGGCCCCTGTTATCAAACAGGAACCAGTGGATCCTGAGCATCCTCAGAACAACTTGATCACACAGTCAACTTCTGTGACACCGAAAGATATCAACCCCACCCTACTTGAACATCTACGTACTAGTATTCTTGAACGACAGATAATCTCAACCATAGCTGGGCATACTGTGTCCATTCTGTCTCCTGTGCAGCCATCTCAGGCTGCTATGGTTGGGCCTAGACCAAATGCTTTACCATCCTCCACAGTAGTAAGCCCTTCCTCTCAAAATCTTCCTAATTTGTCGATACTTTCGGATCCAATAAGACGGCCGTCTCTACAAAGAACAATATATATGACGCCTGCAGGTATGGTGTCCCACAGCACTGTTACACCCCCGAGTCATCCCGCTACTGTATTAGTTCCTGGGGCGTCCTTATTGGGTTGCAATGTCCAAGGAGCAGGAACGACTCTGCAGTTGCCTCGACTTGTGGCCCCATTGCCGCAGATGCAATATGTATCCCCCACCCCCACCACACCTAGCTTGAGGACACCAGTGCTATCCATGATGCCCCCAAGACTTATTGCAGCCCCAAAAACACCACCAGTAATGATCGTTGATTCTAATAAATCATCACCAATCTCGTCACATTTAACAAATGGAACCACATCACAAGATCTGAATGGAAAAACGGGTCAGATATTGACACTTCCAAGTGCTGTAGCGAAACGATTGAATCTTCAGCAGCCTTTAGCACTCAAAATAAACAACGTTCAGATAACTGTGCCTCCCTCATCTTTCCTGTTCACAGCGGACGGTTTAAAACTATTCCTCCCCCCAAAGACATTTCCTTTACAATTAGGGGAGACTGCCAAGTTAAGTGTGACTGTGACCAACGACAAATCAAATGCCTCTCAGCCAGAGGTGAGTGTGAACATCAACACAGAACAGTTGGACACTTCCGGGCTAGGCATTATCAAACCCATGTCTGGTGATGTCACCCAGTCAACAGAACACTCGAAGGCTACGTGTAATACCAGCCATCGTAAGACACGTTGGAGGGCTGGCATTAACCCTGGCATGTGTTATGTGAAAAAACTGTATGGTGGCTTTGACTGCATGTTCTGTATCTTCCAGTATCTCAATATGAAGGACTTGCTCAGGTAATTTTTTGTTTCTGTTTGTTTTGAATAAGAATGAACAAGTACATGATCAATACATATACATCTGCTACATTGTCCAGGCTGACTGCAGTGCTGTTGTATATATTGCCACGATAGTCATGATATTTAAGTGCAGAAAAGAGGATGAGGCTAATTTCTATCTCCTCTGTCTGACCAATTGGAGATTTAACTTGTAATGTACCAAGGTATTAGTAAGGGTGACAATGTATTTATTGGTCATAACAGTTTTTAGCTCACCTGTCCCGAAAGGGCCAAGTGAGCTTATGCCGTGGTCCGTCGTCCGTCTGACGTCAACGTTTTACTTTAAATAACCTCTTCTGAATAACCAAGAGGCCCAGGCTGATGATATTTGGCCAGTAGCATGCTGGGATGAAGGGCTACGAAGATTTTTCAAATGAATGACCTTTGCCCATTTTCAAGGTCACAAGGGTCAAATATGTTAAAATCTTTCAACAACTTCTGAATAACCAGAAGGCCCAGGGTGATGATATTTGGCTAGGGACATGCTTGAAGGAAGGGCTACCAAATTTGTTCAAATTAATGACTTTGACTTAAATTCAAGGTCACAGGGGTCAATTGTCTTAAAAAACCTTTATTCAACTTCTTCTGAATTACCAAAAGGACCAGTATGGTGATATTTGGTCAGTAGCATGCATGATAAAGGGCTACAAAGTTTGTTCAAATAAACGACTTTCAATCATATTCAAGGTCACAGGGGTCAAATATGTTAAAAAATTTAAACAACTTCTTCTGAATAACCAAAAGGTGCAGGATGGTGATATTTTGCACGTAACATGATGGGATAAAGGGCTACCAAGTTTGTTTAAATGAATGACCTTGACATTTATTCAAGGTCACAGGGATCAAAAATGTTCAAAATCTTTAAACGACTTATTCGTAATAACAAAAGGCCCAGGATAATGATATCTAGCCAGTAGTATTCTAGGATGAAGGGCTACTAAGTTTGTTCAAATGAATGACCTTTAACTATATTCAAAGTCACAGGGGTCAAATATGTTAAAATATTTGGATGAAGGGCTATCAAATCATTCAAATGTCCTTGACCCACTTTCAAGGTTACATTTGGTCAGATAATCATAAACCTTTAAATGACTTAATCTCATTAAACAAAAGGTCTAGGGTGGTGATATTTGGCAAGTTGCATGCTTAGATAAAAGCTGTTAAGTTTGTTCAACACAATGACCTTGTTTGACTTTCAAGGTCAAGGGCGTCAAATATTTTAAAATCTTTTAACAGGTTGGTTTGAATGACTTATAGTCATGAATACTGATATTTAGCCTGAAGCTTTAGTTTAGATGACTTTTAAGTTTACAAGTCTGAGATTAATACCAGGTGACCGATGCAGGCTCATTGGGCCTCTTGTTATGTCTCTGTTTTTCTATGTAGGGTTGCCATGGTGTGCAGAACGTGGAGGCAGCTAGCCATGCATCCTAGTCACGTAAGTAAACAGTTATCTGGAATTTCCATTATTCCCCCTACAATGTTGGAGGGGTACTAGTATAAAGGAATCCCCTGTTCATCTGTCCATCCGTCTGTCTGTCTTTTTATGAATCTTGTAAGCACAACTCCACCTTAACTGCAGATTGGATAAATTTTGTTGTAACTTGGCACAGTGAAAGTTCATCATAGTAGTAGATATGGAAGGGATTTGTGATTTGATTACCTAATTTGAATACCTAGATACTATGAAACGGGGGAGCTTACTCACAGTCCTCTATAGTTACTTTATGCTCAAAATTTATGATGTTCTTATTACTTGATAAATTTGATAGATGCATATGACTGCATTCCAGTAAGATTGATAATGCTTGTGGGGGAAAAAAGGTACTATAACATAAGTAACAGGTATGAAATGATGGTAGTAGTTATTAGCTGACCTGTCCCCAAGGGCTAAGTGAGCTTATGCCTTGGTGCAGGGTCCTTGGACAATATTTTACTTTAAACAACTTCTTCTAAATAACCAAAAGGCCTAGAGTGATGATATTTGGTCAGAAACAAACTGGGATGAAGGCTTAGAAGTAAGTTAAAAAAAATCACTGTCACCCATTTTCAAGGTCACGGGGGTCAAATATGTTTAAAACTTTAAACAACTTCTTCTGAATAACCAAAATACCCAGGGAGATAATATTTGGATAGTAGCATGCTGGGGAGAAGGGCTACCAAGTCTTTTCAAATGAATTACCTTCACCCATATTCAAGGTCACAGGGTCAATTGTCTAAAAAAGACATTTAAACAACTTCTTCTGAATAACCAAAATGCCCAGGATGTTGATATTTGGTAAGTAGCAAACTAGGATGAAGGGCTACCAAGTTTGTTCAAATGAATGACCTTGACATTTATTCAAGGTCACAGGTATCATATGTTCAAAATCTTTAAACGGCTTCTTCTTAATAACTAAAAGGTCCAGAATGTTGATATCTTGTCAGTAGCATGCTGGGATCAAGAGCTACCATGATATTTAAAGTGAATGACTTCGACTTATATTCAAGGTCACAGGGGTCAAATTTGTTTAAAATCTTTAAACGACCTCTTCTGAATAAGCATGAGGCCCAGATTGTTGATATTTTGCAAATTGCATCCTGAGATGAAAGGCTATAAAATGTGTCCGACATAATGACCTTGTGCGACTTTCAAGGTCACAGGAGTGAAATGTTTTAAAATCTTTTAACAGGTTGGTTTGAATGAATTTTGAATACTGATATTTTGCCTGTAGTTCCATTTTAGAACACTTTTAAGTTTACAAGTGTGAGATTTATACCAGCTGAGCGATGCAGGCCCATTGGCCTCCAATATAGAGTATTCTGTGAATACAGATACTAGGTATATATTTTTACAGACACAAAAAAACAACCTATTTACTGCCGATTAATGATGATAAAAGAACAATTCAGTATCATATTTCACTTTAGTTTCACATGTTCATAACACTTGTAAATCAAATCTCATCACCTTGAAACAAAAACACCCTAATATGTTTATTTGACCATGTTGACCGAAATTTAATCCCTGTGAACGGGTATTGATTTTGACAACTGCGAAATGTTCGCCCCACAAAATTTAACAACTTCGGTAAAACCTCGTTATACCGCAACCTTCTGTCCTCTGTGATTTTGGCGGTATAACGAGTTTGGCGGTATATCAAGTTCACAGTTTTAAACCAAAGTGTTCTCACACCAACTGAACTTATACTTTAAAAGAATAATAATTTACTTCAGAATACGTTGTTTTTTTCCAAAATTGTAATTTAATGTATCAAATTGTTGGGCATGCAAAACATACAGCTGATTACCTGGTCAGTCGGTAGTCACATGTAACAGTACAATGTACACACATAAATTATGTAACATTGCTGTCATCGGGATATACCTGTACTCGACTCAAATTGGTGGCATTTAATGAGGTCAAAATAGTGTGATTTTAACCATTTGTTTTGGGAAGATGATGGCGGATGGTGGTATATGCGGGTATGGCGTTGCAAGGGGTGCATTAATGTTGGGGAAATGCGTTCTGAGTAATTCAATGGCGTTATGCGGGTTTGGCGGTTTAACGGGTGGCATTACAACGGAGTTTTACTGTATATAGTATTGTAAAATTTACAGACACAATTTTAAACCTGCAAATCAGCGATCTAGATATTGATCTTACTTATGTGTCTTGTCAACAGTGGAGAAATTTGAGGCTCAGGGGTTTGAAGATCCTGGACTGGGAAAAAGCAATCAACTTCATGTTATTACGAGCTGTACAGTCACTGGTAAGTTAAGTAGAATTTGTACATTGTAATATATTGAAAAAGTATGAATAATGACAATACATGTATCTTGTTATCCAGTTAAAACCAAATAATGGTAGGAATTTTCATCATTGTGCATATATTTCCGAAAAAGATTAACTAGAAGTTCAGGTGAGTGACAAGTTATTCTCTAATTTGATGCCAGCTCTAAATTTTGGTTTGTTTTTGCTTTCTCTTAATTTGATGTCTAAATTTTAGACTGTTAGCATAGTTAACTGTTAACCTCATTTTACCTAGAACCTTCGAGGGCTGGTTCACGATGGGGACAAAAACCGCACATGGCACCAACTTATACCCCACATCCACAAACTGACGTGTCTGCGGGAGATCTCCTTCGGCATCGTTCCAGCCTCTGTACTACACATGGTCAGCGAGAAGGTCTCCTGTCTGGAAGAGTTCAATTCCGAGATGATAACGGATATGACAAACCAACAAATGTGGTACGGTTAATATAATGTGTAGAGTCAAATCACTTCATTTAATGACTTAAGCTGTTAAACAGTATGTTAAATGAAATAAAGTCAAACCAAATGTCGAGTCAAATCACTTCATTTAATGACTGTAGCTGTTAGTAGGATGGTAAACAAAATAAAATGGAACCAAATGTCGAGTCCAATCACTTCGATTTTCACCATACATTAACCTGTTGAGAAAACAAAGATAGAAGATCTCCTGTGAAAAATGCTGTAATAACACTGTTTTCATTCTTAGTTCTATCAAATGTATCCTGAAAATGTCATTAATTTATATTCATATGAACAAAATTAATCTAAGGAAATGAAACTTTACATGAAAAAAGTAACATGAATAAATAGCGTCATGTAATGGCAAAGAAAATAATGTGAATGTTTTTCTCTTTTATACTTGTTCAGTAATACATTTGTTATATAAATGTTCCTATAAAAGCCTGTCCTTTTTTCCAGGTCTGTGCCTACCAAACTGGACGTGGGTAAGTTCTCAGCCCTGACTCAGCTTAGAAAGTTGCGACTGCGAGGAGTGGCAGGTCTCCTGCTTCCGTCCTTTTCCTTCAGTGGTGGATTGGCCCAGCTCGGAACCATGAAGAATCTCACCACATTGGTAGGTACATAAGTAGATAAACTCTGATCTTAGATTTGCTTCGTCTAACTTCCTGGTAGATGATTGAAGGTGGAAAGGAATAAACACAGATAACAAGATATTGCCTAATAAAAAAAACACAGGTCGACACTGCTATTACAGACATGGATATTTTGACCTCTTCACAATCTCCACCACCCTATTTATTTCAAAGCTTAATTTTTGGTCGTGTGACAGATTTCATTATGGTCATTAATGATATTTGGCCAGAAGCATGCTGGGATGAAGGGCTACCAAGTTTGTTCAAATAAATGACCTTCAACCATTTTCAAGGTCACAGGGGTCAAATATGTTAAAATCTTTAAACAACTTCTTCTGAATAAACAAGAGGCCTAGGGTGATGATATTTGACCAGTAACATGCTGGGATGAAGCGCTAACAAGTTTGTTCAAATAAATGACCTTGATTTATATTCAAGGTCACTGGGGTTAAATATCTTTAAAACTTTTAAACGACTTCTTCTGAATAACCAAGAGGCCTAAGGTGATGATATTTGGCCAGTAACATGCTGGGATGAAGGGCTACCAAGTTTGTTCAAATAAATGACCTTGATTTATATTCAAGGTCACTGTTCAAATATGTTTAAAACCTTTAAACGACTTCTTCTGAATAACTGAGAGGCCTAGGTGATGATATTTGGCAAGCAACATGCTGGGATGAAGGGTACTCCCATAACATGAGAGGCCGCTGGTCGGCCTTTTTTCAATCGGATATGATTTTGCCGACTGCGACCTCTCATTTCCGAAGCACTAATTCTTTGATGCAGTTTCCGCCCGAAATCCGGGCGGAACAAAATCGTCTTGAAAAACTCACATCAGTGGTTAACAGTTCATGACAACGATGTCTACTCACGGTTTATATAATATAGATCTCATATATATGTCACAGACACAAATATATAGTATATTACGGAATAGAACACTCAAAATACATGTCCATGTCGTTGTAGCACATCTCTGACCTACATTTAAAACATGGCTTCTGGATTAATACAAAATATCAGGGGGGATTTCAAACGGAACGAAATGATACGGAGTTTGTTTGTATTCCGCTTGTGAAACATTACATGTAATCCATTTTTGTATTAACCGGAAAAATCATGGCAAATGCTGTCTGCTTCGCTTCGAATGAGGAAAAACTCATTATTTATGACTTCAACATGAACTTTTTCTCATATAATCATGGATTTATGGAAAGGAATATTTATTGGACACTTTTGACTATTTAAATGTATGTAAACACGATATACTCTTTCTTAATCCGAACTTTGAAAATGTGATAGTCAGCATTGGGAAAATCAGCTATGGGCAGTTAGAGGTTACGCGGCGCCTGTCAAAAGTTTTTCGCCGTGTAAAACCTCTAACATTGTTGGAGTAGGATGAAGGGCTACCAAGTTTGTTCAAATGAACGAGCTTTGTCCATTTTTTCTGAATTGCTTTAAACTTTAAGTCAAGACGCTGATATTTTGCCTGTAGCTTTATTTTAGTCCTCATTTAAGGTTACAATTGTGACATTAATACCAGGTGAGCGATGCAGGCCCATTGGGCCTCTTGTTATACTTCATATTTTTTTTCATGTTCACTAAAACTTGTATTTTAAGAGTGTATTTACCTTGATGTGTGACAATAAACAGAGTCTTTGTGCTCTGTTATTAGTCACTGACGTCCTTGAAGGAGGTAGATGACCAGGAGTTTGGATTCCTCTCAGAACTGACGAAGCTGGAAGTTCTAGAGCTAGGTCACTGCTCCACTTGGTCGTCAGAGGTTTGTGAATTTCATTTCATTTTTGTGTCACCAATTTTATAGGTTAAGGGGACAACTAACATTGAGATATCTCCCTATGTAAAATAGTTACTGTGTAGCAGGAAATTTTCTTCACAGTTAAAGTTTTGCCTTTTTTGCCGTCTGCATTGAGGGCCAATTCATTGTTGCAGAGACTATAAGTAGACAACATACGGTTCATACCATATATAGTTATGACATGTGAAAGGTGAACGATTGTAAACAAGAATTTTGCGGGTGAAAAGCAAATATATGGTTGTGCAAAAGTTTCCTCCTGGTATACAGTACTTATATTTATAAGTCTCTACTGGTTCCCCGGGGGAGGAATGGGTGGGGGCCTATAAGTTTGCATTCCGTCTGTCCAAATTCTGTCCGTCCTTAAAGTTTTCCTGTGGCATATCTTCTATACCGTTTCACCTGGAGTAACCATATTTAGTATGAAAGTACATGTATTCTTGGCCAGCAAAGTGCAAAGTACATGGCAAATAAATCATTATTGGTGGTGGACTATGGGTTGCCTTGCGATACTTTGCCTTGTTCATTACTTACATAACCATGTTTAATAATTCAGTCACATTCTTATATTTCACAATGCAGATAAACATAACCATGTTTAATAATTCAGTCACATTCTTATATTTCACAATGCAGATAAACAGATTGTTGCATAACACATATCTGCATCTCTTCATTACTTTGCAATAGTTTGATATAATTGATAGTTATGTTGTTACATCATTATTTCTTTTTGACAAGAAAAAAAACACTATTTTATTCCCAGTCGGGTCACAGGGGTTCATTACAAATGTCTGATATACACATATGCTATACTGATGTGAATCACAGCACACATAAACATACACTTACACAAACTTAGGCTGAGTTTCAGCTCTATATCATAGTGATGCTATTTCGGCCAGGGTCGTTCATGTATGAGCGGTGTTTTTATTTCATTTTAAAATCCTAGTTTTAAAGGTAATATTGCAGTCTATCCTACTTATTCCAGCTAACAGAATTTGATTGTGTGTTTTGCAGACTTACTTCCACCTGGGGCGACTACATCAGCTGAAGTGTCTACGGCTGGAGAGTGGGGGAGAGATACCAGACATTGGTCTCGGGGACTCTCTCCTCAATATGAAACAGTAAGCTGTCTAAATTGAAGCTTGTTAGGTGGCCGAAGACAAAGGAATGATAAAAGTTATGATGTCACAGTCAATGACAGTGTCCAACACACACACATTTAAAGCTTTCCGATTGTTCTTTTCATTAGTTTTTAATTCAAGAAAATGTTTTTTTTTACTTCTGAGGATTCTCATTCTCACAGCAGAGAAACATAAAATGTCTTCCATAAGTAACACTTGATATTTACGGTAACAAAACTAACTTAATAGGTGTAGTTATAATGCAGAAATATATTCCGACAGATTATTGGAAAGTTCCAACGTACATTTATATCACAAATATACTTACTTTAGCTTGCATTTATAACATTGTGCCATTTTTTTCTCAAATTGATAAGACAAATTTGAAGAGACAAAATGGAAAAAGTCAAAAAGTGTTTGTTTCAAAGATATTATGATGTCATTTGAGGCAGACTCCATATTGATTTTTTTCCATTTTAATGATGTCATTTCAGACAAATTTCATATGGCCTTTTTCCGTTTCGTTACTACAAATTTGTCTAACCATTTTGACATTGGATTGGATTTTTTGGCTTTTAGTTCATAGTTCAGATTCTGTAACACAAGTATCATTGACAGCAAATATGAAACTCCTTACCACAGCTCTGTGTAAGCTATTCTATAATACATTATCAATAATTATTGGTTTCTGATACCTTATTATTTTTCTTGATTTCCCGCAGACTGGAGAAACTTGAACTAATAATGTTTGTGATTGCCGAGTCCCTACATACATCCCTCAGCCAGCTACAGAACCTAAGTCACCTGGTCATATGGCCAGACACGTCCAGTCAGGTTAGTGGTCAGTTTAAAGATATTCATATCACACAAGCCCAGATCCAATGAGAGGTCTGGACCATCAGTTTGAGTTGGAAGCATTTGTAGGGTTTCTAATCTGTTATGTTTTAGGTGTTAGGTTTGAATTCCAGCATCTTTTTCATTGAACTCCTTAGAATTTTTTTCCAAACATTTTCTTCAGGTTGGTAAGTATGGATTATTTTTGACACAACCAATACAATTTTCTATGTGGCGTTTCGATGACTTGTACGATATGTACATCAGACAAATGACCAGTGAAGCGTATACACACAAAGGTGTAAAATGTGTACGAGTTGTCCACAAAATTGGTGTTGATTTCGGCTACACTGTAAGGGTATGTACAATAGTTTTAATATATGTATCAAATTGATCTGATTCAGCTAGGCTTTGTTTAATACTTGGTCATACCGTAGATGTGCGAGAGTCTTTGAGCCCCTCGTCTCGATTTAGAACTGGCCCACTGCAGCGTATCCAGATGGCTTCCTTTATCTGCTGCTTGAACAGATAGCTCTCTCTGTCCAAAACTTTGGAATTAGCCCAGTCGATCACATGATTTTTCTGTGTGGCATGGTCTGTGATTGCCGATTTATTTATCTGGGACTCAGACTGCTTCCTTTCTGATCTGGTAAATTGCCTACCTTCTTGGGTTTCTGTATCTTTCCGGTGTTCACCAAGGCAGACCCCAAAACGCCTTCCTGTCTTTCCAATATACGACGCGTCGCAGTTTTTGCATCCAATTTTGTATACGCATTCTGCGACGTTTTTCATAGTTGTTTTATCCTTAGGGTGAACTAGGATATTACGAAGCATCTTGAGGGGCTTCATGCATGGCTGTTGCTATGCCATGACCGCGATATATCCTCTGGATGGTTTCAGATATACCCTTTATATACTGACTTTGTGGACAACTCGTACACATTTTACACCTTTGTGTGCTTCACTGGTCATTTGTCTGATGAAGGTGACAGTGTACATATCATACTAGTCATCCAAACGTCACATAGCAAAACAAAATTGTATCGGTTGAGTAAAAAAGAACTTCTCATAATTCTTAGAAGATTTTTGTACTGTAAAACCTGCCATCCATCTGTATTTTGTTCAACCCCTGGTGACTCAAGTCCCATCACATGGTAATTGTTGAGATCCCCACCCAGAATCCATATATATACTTGTTGGCCAAAAAAAGCAAATAATAGAATTGGCCTAAGGGTCTTGCCTTGTTGATGTGGACTTGATCCCTGGGATATATTGAAATTTTTGAAATCCTCACAATATAACCATATTTCAGGACATGAAAAACTGAATACACCCTTGATTTGTCCCCCGTGAACTTGGTCCTCTAGTCATCAGTTAGAACTAGTCGGACCACACCATGTTACCATGTACTAGAAGAAATGAACATTCATTATTTAAAATAAAATGGGAACAAAATATATAAAGAGACTAGTACTATGATAATAGATTGTTGAATGATCTGCTTCTCATACAGGAAAGTAATAGCAAGTGACAAAGGTTACAGTTTTACTTTGGAAATGTTATCAAGAAATTCAGTGTATGAAAAGATACCTGTATATTTGTTATTTTTCATAAAAGATATTTGCCCTATGCTGGTTCATGCTGTTAAAAAAAAACTATTCCTCCTGTGTTAATTTGTCTTTCACAGATATACTATATATATTGTGTTCTAACGTTTACTGCCAAGATGAACTTTCCCTGATTACTGGAGACTAAATACATTTCTTAGTATATCGTGCATGTTTTTATAAAACTTTTTACAAGCAGTCGTTGAAGTAGTTGTTTTGTTTCTTTTAGCCTGCAGCATTAGTGAATTCCCATGTACTGGCAGTCGTGTCAAAACTAGCGAAATTGAAAAAACTGGAGTGGGGGATCATGGAGGACAAGTCAGTGATGTGTGATCGTAACGATAACACAGACACTCAGAAAATGTCGCGAGCAGAATGGATCCCATTTCTGTCTGCAGGTTTACCAATCGATGGAACTGAAATCCCAGACAATGCATCAGTTCAATATATGAGTGTTCATCAATTTACTGAGAAACTTGCCATTATTCACCCAACTACAGAAATTAAAGTGTTCAGTACAGAGTTATTAAACACCAAGCCAGCACAGATGAATGAGGAAAGTTAGCAGTAGTGGTGTCGTGGAGAGGACTCGAGATCTCAGTTCAATGTAACCTGTCAACAGAGACTGGCTAGTATGTCATCGCAATTACAGATTTACTTAGAGACCTGTGCACAAAATAACTTACCAAGAGAAACCAAGCATTTCTCAATACAGCAAAGCTTAGAGATTAATTATTATCATGTCAATAAAATAGAACTTGCGATTTGTCTAGAGAGACAAATCATTACTGCAAAACAATACATATGAACCTATCTAGAAAACAAGTGATTTTGTCTAGAAAATAGGACCTGTCTGTAAATCAGCTAGAAAGAGCATGTCTAAAGTCAGTTCAGGTAATTTCTTTTATCTGGAAAATTCTTACTTAGTGAATTGAAAAGGAGGGCTAATATGATGTTGAACTTTCAAAATGTATTATTGAACTTTATGTGCTTTACAAACTGAAACATTTTTTTTTCTATTTAATAGTAGAAAAAGTAAAAAGCTGAGTTTGATTTTGAGTCACAAGGATCAAATATGCATGTGCTTAGAACAAAGAGTAATTTTGAATTTAAAACTTTATAATTATTTGTAGGCACACGTCCGTCCAATAACCATGCTTCCTTTCTGAATTAAACAGTGTAAAAAGATAATGTTTGACTGGTAGTACTTGTTTACTAGGAAAGGTTAATGTTTACAGAGTTGAATTATATATACCACAACAGTTGTTGCATCATCCGATACCCATGGTCGATTGCTTATTGGTCAGTGTACCACAGTAGGCTGTGGGTATCTGACAATGCTGTGATAAAAAATGGTGATCCTGCGTAAGAGTGTTTGTTCATATTTTGCTTGCAAATTTGTTTTAGCTAGATTTTTACAATCATGCATATGCTTGATTATACACGTGATATAGAAAATGGAAATGAGGAGTGCTTAGTTTTAGCTTCACCAACCAGATATGCATACAGAGATTTAATATTTGAGTCTATGTTACTTTTGAATAATGTGTACAAACATCTTACAGATGTTTGAATTTAAGGAAAAATTTAAATACTGATTAAAGCCCATGCAAATTGAGTTTCAAGTCATTTTACGTTGGTTTAGTTTCGACCAAAAAAAAAATTGATAATATATGGCAGATTTTTATGAAATAAAATGATAGATAACCGAATGTAAACAAATTGTTAAATGTATTTTGTTAAATAGTATGTCATGAAAGACAATAATAAAACATGGAAGACAAGTAGATGAATGAAGTACGTTATGTGAGATGCTGAACTTAAACACACTCCCATTTTATAGTTGTCGTACAGTGGTACAAAAAAAAACTACATGTAAAGACAGTTAACATCTTCCTGAAGTGTTTACTTGTTTACAGGGAAATTCAGCTGTAGTTTTGATCATTACACAAAAATAAACTTGGAAATCCTATAAGACACCTGTTCAAATAATGCCTAAGATCATGGACATGTGTACATGTTCAATTCATGTCTAGGATGAACAATCATGTCTAGGATATATTTCCAGATAATGGCCTAGGTCAACGATAACTTTCCAAATCCTGGCCAGGGTCATGCAGGGACATTAAATTTAAAAATAAAATGTGGTGTCAAGGAAACTGTTATAACAATAGTATTGTTCGCAATGAAATCTGTACTAAAACTGAAATGACTCGCATTGTCAATGGCCCGTAAAACAATATCAAAACCAAACAAAAACTAGCTAGTAAATACCACACTTATCAAAGATACTACCATGTTTAATTATATTATTATTTCTGGAAGTGTTAGAACTACCAATATACTTTTTAATGGGAAGTAAAGTATATTGATATTGTCAACTTAGAATTAAGATTTAATTTTTAATCTCTGTTCAATCTCGGTATACTATATTTGAACATATGAGCACCCAGGGTGCTTAAAAAATCAGAAAAGGTTGGGGTGCTTAATACAGTGAAACCTGTCTAATCCAAACCCTGAATATTCTGAAATCTTGTCTAATCCAATCCCTGAATATTCTGAAATCTTGTCTAATCCAAACCCTGAATATTCTGAAATCTCGTCTAATTCAATCCCTGAATATTCTGAAATCTTGTCTAATCCAAACCCTGAATATTCTGAAATCTTGTCTAATTCAATCCCTGAGTATAATGCAGCTGTTTCTAATGAAAAGTACCAAATATATGTAAACCCTGTATAATTGGATGTCCTGTCTAATCTGACCAATATATTGTATCCCACAAGTGTTGGATTAGACAGGTTTCCCTGTAAGAATGATATGTAAGTATGTGTTCAGTCCTGTTGTGTGTCTATCCATGTCATGTTGCTTTGGTTTTCTATCTCTGTTTAGTAATTCGGTATTATTGAAATGTATTTTGCTGAACCTCTATACTTCAGGGGTTATGCTTACTTTCGCTCTCTGCACCCCTGGAATATGTCATGAAAGGATTGAAGGCTCAGTGTGCACCACCTTGTGGATGAGATGAGTAAACTCGTTTGATTCTTTGATGTACACCAAAAGAATCTCATGGTCGTGTAATATGATGGTAAAATTGGCTGGCTTTGAAGTCGGGTGTCGCTCCTCTGTAATCTTCAAAGGACAGTTTACCAGTCTAGCGATTGGTCAGGTTGTTTTTTTTTACCTGAGACCAATCATAGCGAGCATCTTGCCTTCAATTTTGCTACGACTTACTCTGGGGGTACAGAGAGTAAACGTGATCGTAACCCCAGGAGTATCGAGTATGTTCCGTTACATGTATGACAGCAATAAAAAGGTGGGATACTTATAAGAACATTGGCGCTACTTATTTGACGACATTCAAAATTGATGTGATACTGATTTATAACCCCGACATAAACTTCCCCAGGCCAAGGTCACGGGATCAAAGTCACGTATGCTACAGTAGTACACACTTGATCTTTCTCTTTGTGTTTGCATGTGTTTTTAGTGCTGAACTTTATATTGAGTTTGTATACCTGGGTAGTGCTAAAATACTAATTCTACAAATACTCCAATATAGCAACCAGTTAGAGAAACTGAGGGAAAAACACTAGTTTTAGCACTTTAATATAGTGCTTAAAGTTGATTTTTCTCTGCATGCATAGCTAGTGATATGTTTAAGGAATGTGTCAATATGGTAAATCTTATGGAGTGATTTTAGGTCGCACACCTTTATTTGGCATTGAAATGTGATATACTGTATAAGTGACAATTTTTAGGGCGTGGAAATGTGCAAATATAAAAATACGGTAAACCTCCGGTCAGTACGAATCGGACGATAGTTCGAACACATATTTTTTTCAATAAAAACAAAAAAATTCTGCCTAGTGATAGTTCAAGCTCTGATTGTTTATAATTGACCCTATTTCGGATAGTCCCAACTTGTGAAATGAAGAAGGTAAAGTAAGATTTTTTTTCGGCAAACTCCATTGAAAGAATGCCAATACTTTGATCAACAGACACGTTTAGGGTAATGGGTTGTATGTGTGATCATTTCAGTACAGGTGTGACAGACAAACCATAAATATATGTCACAGATTTTAGCGTTAATTCATTTTTTTACATTGTTTGAAAAATACATCGTGCACAAGACAGCCAATTGCAACTTAAGGCCCCGACAATGTATATATAGCATACGATCCGTACGAACTGATGTCACGCTGTATGGCAAACTAATTGTAAGAAATCACCTGTGTATTGTCAAATGCAGTGTTAACTAAGCATTTTGATTATTTAATTGCAATCAGACATCCCTTAATTATTGCCAATCAAGGTATCACCTGTAAACATGGGCCCTCACAACCGGTCCCCTCACACCAGGTAGGGCAGGCCACGCGAGATGTCACGGTAGGGATCAGCCGCCCGGTTATTGTGAGTGACGTGATTAGCATTCATGTCCAGTCCAAACAATCCACAGGTGTCCCAATTAGCGATGGGTAATTTTGAAGGTGTCAAATAAGTTTGGTAGATATTAGGACTATTACTTATAATATAAAAGCAGACATGTTGATGTTCTGACCTAATTTTACTAACATATAGACCTATATTTACCGGTACAGTAGCGCTTTCGTAAACGCAACAGGTTTTGTAGACTATGTTTTCAATTGATTAAACGGACCATTCATTACGAGTAATATATACAATAGTTTCTGATTCAAATAAAACATATAACCATGAAGAGACTCAATATTTAGGTGTCTGATACAAGGTAGTCTAACTTTTGTGCCACAAATGAAACGTGTACTGTCTTGGGGCCTACACAATGGCCTCTGCTTTGCAATAACGAAATGAAGAAAGTTTAATAGTCAATTGACATTGAATTAAATAATATACTATCATTTTACCCATTTATAAATGTGCCATTGTTCTATGCCAGGCCTTTGTTGTTACGTATCGACCTTACATTGGATATGTCGGGTATATTTTTGTACCTTGATTGACACTTTGCCGAAATTTTTGCCGATAGTTCAAACTCGCGCTTATTTTCTGAAGCATAATTTCGTTTAATTGGAACAGGTTCATCAATGTTTATTTAATTTTGTTCGAACTGACCGAAGGTTTACCGTACATCGATTTCATGATATACAGGTCATGGTAGGTTGACTCCGTTGCATTGTAAGTGTTTCCGTCTGGCTTTATGAATAGGGGTGCCACAATACGGCTAACTAAGATAAGTCGCCGCTCCATCCACCAATATTACAATATGTGTTACCAAATTAAGAATAAGAAGAAACAGACAGTGTGTATCTAGAACTCATAAACGCATATGCACATGCATATCTGACTAGATGATCCTGTTTCCATGTCAGTAAGGTCAGGTGTACTGATAAACTGTTGTTACTGGCATGCTGTTATATATATAACCAATTCTCCAGTTCCCACGTCAGTAAGGTCAGGTAATATGATCAACTGTAGTTACTGGCATGCTGTTATATATATAACCAATTCTCCAGTTCCCACGTCAGTAAGGTCAGGTAATATGATCAACTGTAGTTACTGGCATGCTGTTATATATATAATTAATTCTCCAGATCCCACGTCAGTAAGGTCAGGTAATATGATCAACTGTAGTTACTGGCATGCTGTTATATATATAACCAATTCCCCAGATCCCACGTCAGTAAGGTCAGGTAATATGATCAACTGTAGTTACTGGCATGCTGTTATATATATAACCAATTCCCCAGATCCCACGTCAGTAAGGTCAGGTAATATGATCAACTGTAGTTACTGGCATGCTGTTATATATATAATCAATTCTCCAGAGCCCACGTCAGTAAGGTCAGGTAATATGATCAACTGTAGTTACTGGCATGCTGTTATATATATAATCAATTCTCCAGAGCCCACGTCAGTAAGGTCAGGTAAACTGATAAACTGTTGTTACTGGCAAGCTGTTATATATTTAACCAATTCTCCAGATCCCACGTCAGTAGTTCAAACTCGCGCTTATTTTCTGAAGCATAATTTCGTTTAATTGGAACAGGTTCATCAATGTTTATTTAATTTTGTTCGAACTGACCGAAGGTTTACCGTACATCGATTTCATGATATACAGGTCATGGTAGGTTGACTCCGTTTCATTGTAAGTGTTTCCGTCTGGCTTTATGAATAGGGGTGCCACAATACGGCTAACTAAGATAAGTCACCGCTCCATCCACCAATATTACAATATGTGTTACCAAATTAAGAATAAGAAGAAACAAACAGTGTGTATCTAGAACTCATAAACGCATATGCACATGCATAACTGACTAGAAGATCCTATTTCCATGTCAGTAAGGTCAGGTGTACGGATAAACTGTTGTTACTGGCATGCTATTATATATATAACCAATTCTCCAGTTCCCACGTCAGTAAGGTCAGGTAATATGATCAACTGTAGTTACTGGCATGCTGTTATATATATAATCAATTCTCCAGAGCCCACGTCAGTAAGGTCAGGTATACTGATAAACTTTTGTTACTGGCATGCTGTTATATAACCAATTCTCCAGATCCCACAACAGTAAGGTCAGGTATACTGATAAACTTTTGTTACTGGCATGCTGTTATATATATATAACCAATTCTCAAGATCCCACATCAGTAAAGTCTGGTTTATATAGACACATATCTGAGGAAATAATTGTCCCCAAGACTAGATGATCCTGTTTCCATGTCAGTAAGGTCAGGTGTAATGATAAACTGTTGTTACTGGCATTCTGTTATATATATAACCAATTCTGCAGATCCCACATCAGTAAGGTCAGGTATACTGATAAACTTTTGTTACTGGCATGCTGTTATATATATAACCAATTCTCAAGATCCCACATCAGTAAAGTCTGGTTTATATAGACACATATCTGAGGAAATAATTGTCCCCAAGTCAGTAAATCTGTATTACAAGAACAAATATGAATGACCCACTTTCCTTGTATTTTATATCCATGTATCAAACAAGATTAGAACAATTATGATCTGTAATTGAAACCCAATCTCTCCATTTTCATTTACATATAAGGACATACACTGATTTCTTTATCAGATTTTTCAGATCGGTACTTCTTTGTTGTCAAAAGTTAATGATGAAACAAAATTCATCACATTTTATCATCATTGTGTCTAGATATCTTTATTTATTGATAGTTTTAATTTTATTTTTTTTAAATATTGTAACTTTTTAACATCATGAAACAATAATATAGCAATGACTGGCTTATTATCAGAAATAGTTTATCAGGTTATCCATATGCATTATTTTTGCGTGTTGATACAATTAATATGGTCGGTGAGTAGAGTGAAGCCTTGCTAGTCAAGGTTTACAGTTCTTCTAGGAACATTCATTAAGTAAGGCATAAGTTTGGAAAATGAGGTTCTATGGTGCATTTCTATAAGTTTGTTTATTGTACATAATATATATCATTTAAAGAGAACCTGAGGTTTTTTGTTCACATTAATATCTTTTTAACCAAAAATGTGATCACATAATAAATTGTACAATTCTTGAACCTGTTTGTTCCTTGTGTTGATGTACCAACATACCATGTTAATCCTAATATCCTTCACCCATGGCCGAGTCCTGGATAAGAATAAAAGAAACCTGTCTGGACCAGACGACCTATTTATTGCACACACTCGTTAAAGTCGTCGCCAGGATTGAGACCGTAGTGAAGGACACCATCTTTTATCCAGGCCCAGGCCATCCTTTCTGTCGTGAAATGCTTTCCGATGTTGCCGCAGTTATTTAGTACAACCACACCTCCTGACCCCTGAACTCTCTTAAACATAAAGGTCAAGGCCGTCTCTGAAGCTGTCTGTGGATCCATTCCTGATAGAAAATTGACCTCATCATTAAACACCGATTATTACCAAGTCTCACTTCCACAAGAAATATATTTCACAATTTATTTATCAAAATGCTTTGGTCCATATTGGAAATCAATTGAAAGAAATAAGTATGATGAATTATTTCATTATATTATCTTTAAAAATAATGTATGTGTATTGATAGATTTCAGATAGCTGTAGGATATTTCCATAAAGCTTGATCTAATATGGTTTGATAGAGTTCAGTATCAGTAACAGAGACATGTTAAAAGTAGTACATGTTGTCAAAATGTTGATAACATGGTCACCGAATTGTCTCTGAAAGTCCAACCATCAATTTTAGACAAAAAACTTGCTGGATTGGAGATAAATAGGCAAAACCGCACATATGTGTTGATCTGAGTATTCGGATCGCATGAGTTTGTGGTGGCGGAGGGAATATATCACGAGTGCGATACTTCTCACCCCTGCACATAGTGGCCAAAAGTGGTCAAATTGTTTATAATTGTCACCAATCCCCCCTTAAAATTATAATCACATGTTTGCAGTTTGATAGTATGAAAATTAAGACCCAAATGATAGGTTGAATAAAAATTATTTTTCCCCAAAAATCCCAATCAATATTTTGTAGCTGGTATACTGGGGAGTGAGAAAGTTTTCTGACAGTTACCAGCTGTATTTATGTTATACATCTTGGTCAAATCCCAATATTATTTTGTCTGCAAATCCTGTCAAAAAGCCATATTTGGTTTATACATGGATGTATGTCATTATATATTATCAGACTTTTTCATGCCCAATGGTGTAGGATAGGAAATTGCACCCTCAGGATTTTCAAATTTGGCAAAACCCTCGGCTTCAACTGTCTGCTACTGAAATGGCTCGGAAGCTGTAAAACTATCATATCATCTTCAGCTTTGTTTTACACCCGAAAGCTTAAGTTGATCAATCCAGTGACACTCACCTCCCTCCATCAAATGGGTAATATGCTTAGCCAGACAGACTTTGGCTATGGACTCGCCATGGCCGGTGGTAGACACCCCTCCACCAGCATTGTCAGCATAACCACCGGCACCTGTAACAAAGTAAACAGTAACAAAGTAAGGTACTGTGGCTATGGGTGATATGTTTTTAGAATGAGTAGTCCCTGAAGTATAACACGTAACAGACCCACTGTTTATACAAAATTGCTTCCCCTTCACCCAAGGATGGCTTCATACCAAATTTGGACAAAATCCTGTAATTCCTACAGAAGAAGAAGTATTTTGAAGAATTTTCTATGTTTCCCCTATTGGGCTCTGATCCTCAGCCCCCAGTGGGGGCCACACTCACTATTTATACAAAATTGAGTCCCTTTTGCCCAAGGAAACTCCAGACCAAATTAGAATAAAATCCTTTAATCCCTATGTTAGAAGAAGATTTTGAAGGTCTTCCCTATATCTCCCCTATTCTGTCCCGCACCTCTGCCCCAAGGAGGGCCACACCCACCGTTTACACAAAATTGAGTCCCCTTGGCCCAAGGATGCTCCAGACTAAATAAGGATAAAATCCCTTAATCCCTACAGTAGAAGAAGGATTTTAAAAGTTTTACCTCTATTTCCCCTATTGGGGCCCCGCCCTGAGGAGGGCCATACCCTCTGTTTATACAAAATTGAGTCCCCTTGGCCTAAGAATGCTCCAGACCAAATTTAGTAAAAATCTACTTGGCCTTAGTGTAGGAGTAGTAGCGTTTTAAAGGAAAAGTTGACGGACGACAGACGCTGCGGTATGGGCATAAGCTCACCATGGTCCATGGTTCTTCGGACCAGCCGTGAGCTAATAAAAAACTGCACTTAAACTGGCATACCTCGTGTTCATGATTAAAGAGACTTCATTTTATTTGCCATTCAACAATCTGTGTCTATACACAATAATAGCAAGCTTTAAGGATCAAGGTATTAGAGGAAACCAATGTATAAAAGGGAATATGTGAAATATGATGATTATTATAACATAGAGCAGAAAGAATGGCATATACTCGTAGACAGATGCCGCTCATTGTTTACAATTGATGACCATTTCTTATTTATAAGTTATAGGTGTCCCTTGGCAGGGAATTTTCTCATGAACATTAAACTCTATATAACAAATATGAATGGGGTGAATAATTTTCTAGCTCCCTGCCTAGGGTGGAAGAGTTTTAGAATACTTCTCCTCCTGTGTATTGATAGAGGGATATTCAGTTTATTTACCAATTAGATTTAGAGCATTTTTGGGCTAGGAGGATTTAATATTGTACAAATGGAGGGGGCAGAAGAGTAGGGCCAAGTAAGGAATTTATTTAAAGCTTTAAAACCATTTCTTTCCATATGTGAAAATTTGATCTAGATCATCCTTGGTCTGAATTGACTCAACTTAGCATGAAAGATGAGGCCAAATGGGAAAAGATGGGTCATAAATTGGAAATGATTGATATCCCCATCCGTTATGGATATTAATTCTTTTATGTCCCCATAGCTTCTGTATGTGTATTATTGTTTTTTGGATTGGAGTAGAACAGTTGGTCCACTCATATGCAAAATACAGGGAGAAATCTCTGGACACAACATCAGTATAAGAAAATGACTACATTACCTGTACCTTTGACGAGGGACAGGCTTTTACCCAACTAAACCTATATATTGTGTACACACCGATGATGGGACTGTCCCCAATCCTGCCGGGACGTTTGGCTGTGATACCACCAGTGGACGTCCCAAATGCAATGTTTCCCTGCGCATCTAACACCACTGCTCCGACTGTGTCGTGGCCCTGGACAACAGGGTCAGGCTCCTTCTGGACGTCACTCCTGTCATTAACAATGCATACACAATCCAAATTTGTACTTGAAAAATAGATAAATAATGCTGAAAGAGTAAATCCAATCTTTGTAGAATCAGCTGTAACAAGGGTTTAAAGAATTACACAGTATTTCAAATGTCACAACCTGTTTCTTAATCAAGGTATATAAATATCATCACTATTGCAGTCTTAAAGATATCTGTATCTGTAGCAGTACCCTATAGAATCTCTTTCAGTCTTTTATATGACAGGGATGTGTGCCTAGCAACTGTTCTTGCTGCTATAAAAAGTAGAGCAATCATATTCTGTGCATCCTGCACATGAAAAAGATACATTTTGCTTCTAACTTTGATGGCATAGAATATTCTAGCAAGCTTGATCCACTGTATATAGGGTTGATGCCGTGTTTTGGTGTCCCTCCCGCATCAACGTATTCCTTTAAATGCCTTTGGTTTGAAAACCAAAAGGCACAGGGTTATATTTTGCCAGTAGCATGCACGAATAAAGGGCTGTCAAATCAACGACCTTGACCTATATTCAAGGTCACAGGTGTCACATTTGTTAAAATCTTCAAATGACTTCTTTTAAATACTTAAATGCTTAAGGTGGTGATATTTTGCTAGTAATATGCTGGATCAAGATAAATGAATATATTTGGCCAGGTGCATGCTATAATAAAGAGCTATTTAGTTTGTTCAAAAGAATTACCTTGCCTGAATTTTAAGATCATAATTTTTTATTATGTCGAAATTTGTTAAATGGTTTTATTGACTTCTGATAATAAAAAAGGCTAGCTAAAGTTCATGATATTTTGCAATATAGGTTAATGGTGTAAATGTATACAAGGTTAATGGTGTAAATGTATACAAGGTTAATGGTGTAAATGTATACAATGGTGTAAATGTATACAATGTGTTTGAAGTGAATAAAAGGCTTTATCACCCATCTTAGTTCAGATCAATAACATATGTTCAAATCTTCGAACAAAGATTCACAAAGATACAAAAGGTGTAGAGCAATAAGATCTTCCAAGAAAGACCCCAAAAATGTATGTATCCCATCCAACAGGTTGAAAAATTCGAAATAAAATTCAAGGCCCCTGATCCTCTTGTTGGTAGAAAATATATCATGCTGAATTTGTAGTTTCAAGTTTGTTCTGTTTGTAATATTATTTTATTAAGAAGTGTTCGATAAAATGTACAACTTGTATATTCATCTTTTTGATATAATCTAGAAAGCAACACTACCCTGAGTTAATACTACCTTGCACCAAAGAGAGTTGTGACAGTAGTATGGTACTTCATCAGCTGTTCCCATTCTCTGCGCGCTGTTTCTGTCACCAGTTCTTCAGTTGGCAAGGTAACAGCACCAACTTCTTCTGCAAATTTATTAGCTCCTTTTCCTACGATCAGGGTGTGGTCAGTCTACAGGATATATAAGTTAGGAGTCAATAAAGCAAATATTGACAGAAGGGGATATCCTAAACCCAGACCAGAAATGTTACCAGGTGTATAGACAACTTCAGTCAAGAGACAGCACTTAATCCAAAGAAAGGCATCTTCAACCAAAGGGACATTTAACTTCAACCCAGAAGACACACATTCGACCATGTACAGACAGTATAAGCCCAGAATTTAAGACAATCTCTACCAAGTTAAGGTAACAGCACGCAGCCAAGGAAGACTATGTCGACCAAGAACAGATAACTCTAAATCAAACAGACCGAGGTCCATCAAGTATAGATAACTCCAACCAAATACAGACTATTATACCAGATGTGGACTTGAAACAAGGTGAACTATGATGGCCATATTTCTTAATGCCTTAAACAATAAAAATGATACTTGGTAAGGGCAATTGCAGGAACATTTGTAAAACATCTCATTAAAATTAATCTGATGAACGCTAAACTGTCTCGTCCAGCTGGAGAAAAGGTTGCCACATCTGATAGTAAACGTATTCGAAAATAGCACATGTTCAGGGCCAGAACCGGATCATTTTCAGTGATGTGTGGCCTCGTTGTCCTCTGCAGCTCTATAAAGCAAATGCAGAGGAAATTTTGTGCAAATAATCATCGGATGACCCATTTATTTTTGATTTAGATATCCTTTTCAGTCCTTGATTGCCTGAAACTTTTTCTAGCTAATGTCAATTTCTATCAGGCCTACTTTGACAAAATTTATAACAATGGGCCTGTGTATATTGCCTGTTGATTTATCACATATCTATAACTTCAAAGTGGGTCAAGGTCAAATTTATTCAATAATTTAAAGGCTTTACCCATTTAACCGCTGTGACATTCTAAAATGGGTCAAGGTAATGCTACTGGGGAAATATCATAACACTGAGCCTCTTGATTATTCTGTGACTCATGTGACCTTACTAGTAAATGTGGTGAGTGTGAAGATCATTCAATTGAAAAAAAACTTGAAAGCCCTTCAATACACAATGCCATGGTTTTAATGAAGAAGAAGTCATTCAAAGTGTTCTTCGGTCCATGTGACCTTGAAACAGCGTTAAGATAATCAATATAACCCTTTCTCACATATTTCTATGCTTACCAGATATCAAAACTCCAAACAACTTCCTTCCAAAGAGACAACCTCAGTCCAGAATTGACCTAGTCTTCAACCAAGGACAGGCTAGTTTAACCAAGTAAGGATTTTTTAACTGGACCATGTTACCTTGACCTTGAAATCGGATGCCATCATTTATGTATAGACTTATCCAGGTGTGAAATGAACTCTCACTTTTTCCATGACTGCCCTGGCCAGAGATATGGGGTTTTTGATGTTCTGGACACATCCCACCGCTCCAGACCTCAGGTCTCTCCCATCCATAATGACCGCATCCATCTCTACTTCACCGTCTGCATTCAGCACTGATCCAACCCCTAGTGATAACATTCATAAAGATTTAGAATATAAACAAGAAATATTGAAATAAGTTTTAAAAATTATTTTTTTTGCAAAATCATGAACAGTTGTACAAGATAAACAGTGGTGTAAACTAGTCATTTGATATTTATAATACCGGCATCAAAGACTGGGTTGTCCTCCATGCTCCTGACGGCAGCCTCTACAGCATCAACAGCTGATCCTCCGGCTTTGAGGAGCCTGTATCCTGCTCCTGCGGCCAGTCGTACCCCCTGGACACTGCCCTCAGCCAGGGAGTCGGGAATGGCCCACGCCCCACCATGCACTACAATCACTGGCTTTATAGACATTATGAGGTGTGTTGGTTCTAACAGTATAGTTGGCAGTTCTATAAATAGAAAATAATAGGTTTACACTTTTTCCAAGAACACATTCTAATTGTCAAATGATTGATTTTATTTCCCTCTGTATAAACCCTTGTGACAGTAGGTTAAACTGTTTCAGGTCTTCTGACCACCTACCAGTACAGGTATATAGCAAGATTATAGTCTGTATAAATGTATTCAGTATTGAGAGGATGTCACCATACAACAAAGTCATTATGGACATCTGAAAATCATTGGAACCATCTTTAATAATTCTGCTTATTATAAAAAGGTCCTGTTGCTAAAAGAGAAATTAGACATACATGAAATCTAGATATCAGTTGGGACTAGTATTAGACATCTATACAAAATCATGTATCAGAGCATTCTAATATGTAGGATACAACCAGACCATGAGGAGATCTAATGCTATACATGTACACAATGCTGATCCATGGTAGGTGTGTTATCAGGTACCTACCGTCACAGTAACTTAATTACCTGTGAACTACTGTAGAAAATGTCAGTCATGTACTCCTCTCCGGTGCCTCTTTATCTGAAGTAGGTCAGCAGAATCCAGTCAAAATCTGCACTATCAGCAGGTCTGTTGTCTACCAGTGTGGCATGGTACTAGTATGGAGAAGCATTGTTAACAGGGGAGGGGGAAGGGTGTGTGTGTGTGTGTGTGTGTGCGTGAGTGTGTGTGTGTGTGTTAAAAAGGAATTATATACAGTTCATATTTTCATTATGATATTATGATGATGTACATGAACCCCACACCCCACTCCATTGTAAAGTGTACCTCCAAAATTCACTTTTTTAAATCAATTTACTTTAGTAAGATGTTCTAGATATGTTAATACATGCAGTCAAAATTCTATCTGGATAAGAGAAGGAATTAGGGTAGGACAAGGGGGTGAATTCACAATGGCCACCAATTGTTTACAATGTCCACTCCCTTGTTCTGACCTAAATAATCCTGACCCAGACCTGATGTTTAGCATTCAACAAAAAACTACAAATTGAAGTGAATTAAAAACAATGTTATCTATATATATATATATATATATATATTGCATAACAATGTTATCTGTACATATTTAGATTTTCGCATCTGCAGTAGCATCATTGACCTATCTACTGAATTAAGCTACAGATAAAATGCCTCAAGTTTTAGATTCAATTTATACCAAAAAGAGAGGCTGCTTAATACCCCGGGTAAATTCAAATCTGGTAAGAACAAATGCATTACATTTACTTTTAACTGATAATTTAAACAAGTGAACTCCATAATAAATACACCACTTTGTTAGCTTCATAAGGCCTCCAATTCTGACCTTGCTTGATGGAGATGGTTCAGGGTTCAAGGTTATTGTATAATCATGTTTTACTATCGTCAAACTTCTTTTTCATGAAAGAAGTTTTATTTGATTTGAATTCCACTAAATCACTTTCAATTAAATTTCATCCATAATTTTAATACTTTGAAAGTTTTATCAATAAAACTGTAATTTTCTTTGAAGCTAATTACTATATACCAATTAAACCACTTAAACCACATACATTGTGACTGACTTTGAATTTTGCCAAACAGTGACACTGTCTGACACAGGGATGCCCTTCATATCTATGACATGTACATTATGTATTGTTATAAAAACCTCCTGATCAGCTTTTCACTTGGTGATTTTACATTGAACAATGTACCCTTGACATCACACAACGGCAGCCCTGTGATCAGGAAGATAACAACACTGGCTACTACAAATAAACTTCAATGTATACACTGTCCCAGTGTCTAGGCAGGATCATCAATACGGCCTGGACTTGTGGAGAGCCATGATTCCTATAACTTGTTTTCTGGTTGCCTTGTCTCTTGCTGTTGCAAGTAAGTATAACATGTACAAACCTTGTACATGCTGATCCAAGCTGAAACATTAAACTTACCATTTACAGATCTCCTTTCCAACTCTTTATTCATATAGGTGTACAAGAATGTGCATACTTCCTATATAAATGAAGTCTGAATATAATTTATTACATACAATATTAGCCATACAAAAATATTTTACAAAAATCACAGGTCCTTGAATCAATGTACCAGTGTTTTTTTATCCAAATTGTGGAAATAAAGAAAGTCAAGTACTTGTAGATGAACATTTGGGGTATATTACAGATATATCTAAGTAAACGTGAAAAGACCAATTTGGTGTAATATCATGTCGCTGCTTAGAATATCGTACCCTGTTGTTTCTATTATCATGTGTTAAATGTAAACCTATTGTTTCTATTGTCATGTGTTGATGTAATCGTAATGTTTCACATGTGTGGTTACATGTCTTGTGTTTTGTGACATAATCCCATTGTGTGTGGTCACGTGTCTTGTGTTTTGTGACATAATCCCATTGCGTGTGGTCACATGTCTTGTGTTTTGTGTCATAATCTCATTGTGTGTGGTTACATGTCTTGTGTTTTGTGACATAATCCCATAGTGTGTGGTCACATGTCTTGTTGTTTGACATAATCCCATTGTGTGTGGTCATGTCTTGGGTTTTGTGACATAATCCCATTGTGTGTGTACACATGACTTGTGTTTTGTGACATAATCCCATTGAGTGGGGTCACATGTCTTGTAGTTTGTGACATAATCCCATTGTGTGTGTATACATGTCTTGTTTTTTGTGACATAATCCCATTGTGTGTGTACACATGACTTGTGTTTTGTGACATAATCCCATTGAGTGGGGTCGCATGTCTTGTATTTTGTGACATAATCCCATTGTGTGTGTACACATGACTTGTGTTTTGTGACATAATCCCATTGAGTGGGGTCACATGTCTTGTAGTTTGTGACATAATCCCATTGTGTGTGTACACATGACTTGTGTTTTGTGACATAATCCCATTGAGTGGGGTCACATGTCTTGTAGTTTGTGACATAATCCCATTGTGTGTGTACACATGTCTTGAGTTTTGTGACATAATCCCATAGTGTGTGGTCACATGTCTTGTGGTTTGACATAATCCCATTGTGTGTGGTCACGTGTCTTGTGTTTTGTGACATAATCCCATTGAGTGGGGTCACATGTCTTGTAGTTTGTGACATAATCCCATTGTGTGTGTATACATGTCTTGTTTTTTGTGACATAATCCCATAGTGTGTGGTCACATGTCTTGTGGTTTGACATAATCCCATTGTGTGTGGTCACGTGTCTTGTGTTTTGTGACATAATCCCATAGTGTGTGGTCACATGTCTTGTGGTTTGACATAATCCCATTGTGTGTGGTCACGTGTCTTGTGTTTTGTGACATAATCCCATTGGGTGTGGTCACATGTCTTGTGTTTTGTGATATAATCCCATTGTGTGTGGTCACATGTCTTGTGTTTTGTGACATAATCCCATTTTGTGTGGTCACATGTCTTGTATGACAGAATCCCCTTGTGTGTGGTCACATGTCTTGTATCCTATATTCTGTCAGTCAATGGAATAGTAATTACAACATAAAGGTATATTGAAGTGATTGTTAGCACTATCATTGATACCTGCATGATCTGTTTGTCATTGTTTCCTCACCATCCACACAAACCAGTACAATATTCTGTCACCCTCCGATGTTTTAGTTCATTTCTACTTGTATTTGTTCCTTTCAGGTGCTTGGCCTGAATGGCCTGCTGAGTCTAGTTACACAGGCCTGTCCTATGGGCCGACACCATTCTGGTGTAAGCCAAATGGCTTGGCATGTCTAAAAGGAAGGACATTTGCTGACAATCCCCGAGGTCAGAACGTCACAGTTGATCTCAGTACAACTAAATCAGTACAGAAAATCAACCACGAGTACTGCAACCTCACCAACTATGGAGGCCCTAGTACACAGGTCCCTTGTGTAGAATACTGGCAGGCAGATGGACGGGTATTCATTGCTTCTGACAACTTCTGTTGCCAAGGTTATGGATCGCCTGGATTATTTCCCTTGAAAGTACCGCAGACAAACTGGATGACCCAACAGATGAAACTAAATTCTCAACTTGGACACTACAAGGGTGCGTTTTACGATGGTAAAGTTTACAATTACACAATGACATTGAACCCTGGACCTCCTCCATCCTCCAAGGTCAAACAGCCGTCCCCACCTCATGGAGGCGGGATCCACTTCTGGTATTACGCATCATTCCCAGATAAGAAGCCGGTCGCCCAAGGAGAGGGGTGTGTTGTTGATGTAAGCCAGGCCTCTAGGTGCGTTAGTAATGCTCCAGTCTACCTTTTCACCGAGTATCATGTGTTCTCTGCCACAACGTTCAGTAACTACACAGAGTTTGAACTTCCAGCTCAATGTAAAGACAGTCGGAAAACTGACTGTTACAATAGGGGTGGAGGGCCACCTCCATTGTTCTAAAACCATTACAGTTGTTTAAACTCGCCAAAACCTCAAGACTTATGATTTGACTATGTTGTTTGATGTCTACTAATTTATATGAACTAAATAACATATTTTAATTCAATATAATCCCTGTGTGTATTCATGATTATTTATAAGAAGAAACCCTACATGTTGTTATTTCCAATATTGTCCAAACAAATATAGTCTTATTTTGATTATTTATTTTCATTAAAAGAACTTTATGTTTACCGGTAAGATGTTATTTGGTTTTATTTTTTTACTGAAATAGGGTTAATAGGACGTTAAACACAAACAAAACCAAAACAGGAGCAAAATGATCCTTGGGCATTGCTATGGAAATTTTCATCACCCACTTTTAAACATAAATGACCAGTTTGAGCTACATGTATCAGCAAAACCTTAAAAGCAAGAGGCCCTGTATCGCTCACCTGAATATTTAAGCAGTCATAGCAAAATATTCTCATTAAATATTATATTGCACTAAAAATATCTGTTGAAACTACCAGCAAAACATTATTATAAGATGTCATTTTCCTTCTCAAATTGGTTAGCTCTATTCCAAAAAGCTACCAGCCAAATCTAATGAATCCATTTCTTTTAGTTCTTAAGAACAAATCCTTTAAAATGTTGTTGACCTCTGTGACCTCTAAAGTAGGTTGAGGTCATTTTCATTCGCAAACTTTGGTGAGCTCTATCCCAGGAAGTCACTAGCCAAATATTAAAAATGTATGCCTTTTAATTCTTCATCAGAAGTAGTTTGAACCGTTTGACATATTTGAACGCTGTGACCTTGGAAGTGAGTCAAGGTCATTTTCATTCGCAAACTTTGTTTGGCTCTTTCCCAGGAAGCCACCTGCCAGATATAAAGATTCTATACCTTTCAGTTCTTCAGAAGAAGTCGTTTGAAGTGTTTGGCAAATTTGACCCCTGTGATCTTGAAAGAAGGTCAAGGTCATTTTCATCCTCAAAATTTGTTGGGCTCTATCCCAGGAAGCCATCAATCAAATATAAAGATTCTATACCGTTCATTTCTTCAGAAGAGGGCATTTGAAATATTTGACCCCTGTGACCTTGAAAGTAGGTCAAACTAATTTTCATTCTCAAACTTTGTTGGGCTCTATCCCAGGAAGCCACCAGCCAAATATATAGATTCTATGCCTTTCAGTTCTTCAGAAGAAGTCGTTTGTAGTGTTTGACACATTTGACCACTGTGACCTTGAAAGTAGGTCAAGGTCATTTTCATTCTCAAACTTTGTTGAGCTTCATCCCAGGAATCCATCAGCCAAATATGAAGATTATATACCTTTTAATTCTTCAGAGGTCGTTTGAAGTTTTTGACATATTTGACTCCTGTGACCTTGAAAGTAGGTCAAGGTCATTTTAGTTCTCAAACGTTGTCGGCTACTACCAACAAAGCTTTCAGCCAAATATCATGACTCTAGGACTGTCCATTCTTCAGAAGAAGTTGTTTAAAGGAAAAGTTGACGGACAACGGACAGACGCCGGACGCCGCACCATGACATAAGCTCACTTGCCCTTCGGGCAGGTGAGCTAAAAATCACAAACACACTGCAGAGACATAGTTCAAAAATTATATAAATGCTTCATTGGTCGAGATCCTCTCATATACCTTTTGGTCCATGTACCTCATTTACAAATATTTACCACACAGTGGTATTGCAAATCTATATCCCATCAAATTCTGATGACTTTCATATCAGCTACGAATGCCATGGCCCATTATGAAGACACCATAATTGTAACATTGGATACAACTGACCCACCCTTACAGATGGCTGTTCTATTCATTAAACAAGCTGACATGATACATAGTTTTTTTTAACAAAATATTGAATTGTGATAAATTCTACTTAATTTGCTATAAGACGAAATATATTTTTTAAATGTTTAATACATGCATAAGTATTATGCTGTATTCAGTTGGCATTCATAGTCAAATGACAAATTCAACATGAAGTGAATTTAAGATTGGCGGATATTTATATTTGTAGACTTTGGCTAACATCCCTTTGAGCTGACCAAATAACTAGCTTTATGGATCAACCCTTACAAAACAGATTAAACAATATTGGACCTAATGTGTTACTATCTAGTGTCCTGTTTGTTAAAGTGTGGAGGTACAATGTATACTATTGTAGGTTTGGCAAATAAATATGATAACTGACCAAAATTAAACTAACCCAGTAACTTAAGAAGTAAAACAAATTCAAACTAAGGAAGAATTCATTTTATTATGTGTATAATAAAAATTAAAAGATTCTCAAACATTTATCATATCTAAATAAATTAATAATACATCTGCACATTTGAGTTTATAATGCGACTAAATTATGTCCCTTTCATCCTTCTAAAGTGCTCTGAAAGGAATGAAATAAATTACACATTTTGAACTAGAACTGTAAGCCAAAGGCTAACTAATACCCCCTGCTTCCATATAAACCAGAACTGTAAGCCAAAGGCTAACTAATACCCCCTACTAACTTAGGCAAAATATTCCAAAGCGATCCATAGTCCCCACCGGTAACATATAATTTATTTACTGAGCTGTACACTTATTTAAGTATAAAGGTCACAGTGACATACTTCCTGTACTCCCTTCCCATCTCAAAATATACCTCCTAATCTTGTTGGCCCAGATGAACCAGTTTTGCTGAAATCGTCCAAGTAGTTTAGGAAGAGTTGTCCGGACAAAGAATTTTCAACAAAGGCCCATAACTCTGTAAAAAGGGTCAGAATTGACTAGATGCACGATGTTGGGGTTAGTTACCATATCTGTAAACTTTCATTGAAATCGGCCCAGTAGTTTAGGAGGTGGACAAAGGTCTTTTCAAAGGAGTTTTTTTCAACAAAGGGCCATAACTCCTTGTAAAAGGGTCTAAATAAAAAAAAACTTCTTGGATACACAACATCAGGGGGTAGTTACCATATCTGTAAACTTTCTATGAAATCAGCCCAGTAGTTTAGGAGACGTTTACAGGACAAGGATTTTTCAACAAGCTGATTCCAGTATACCCCCCAAACCTCATTGCGAGAGGTATATTATATATAAAAAAAATAAAATCCTTTTCAGACTTTTTCAGGAGCATTAGCTCACCTAAACTCTCGGTTTTATAAAAGATATGTAGACACAAAAAACACATGGAAACAACAGCAATATAGAGCATCCATGTTGTATGACTTATTCTGGAAAATGAGCATAATACCTCGGTATATTGAGGATGTGAATTTAAATTTATCGTTAATAGTGTAGAAAACACTAGATTGTGTCAATTGGGAGTTATTAATGACAAAGTTTTAGCATCAAGATTGTTTGACATTAATTTGGTACCTAAAATCTGTAGACAAGAAAATATCTGTCAAAGTTTACCTCTAGACACGATTCCGACACATCTTAAATAATATTACATGACTTGCTATTGATAGATTATAACACATACAATCATTGACTTCCTTATCTAATTGGTCATCCGTAATACAACATTGATCCAAGTTCACACAGTTCTGTTATTTTTGAGTTTTCACATTTAGACAAATCCTTGTCCTGACTGCCAGTTTTATGTTGTGACATGTACCAGCGATTAGTGCTGCCTGGTATTACAAGAGCTATCAGTGAGACTCTTCCTCCTCCATAACAGCTGGACAAACCTTACCACCTAGGATGTACTGACTTTTTACAGAAAGTCATGTCCAGCACATACAAATCTGTATCCAGAAATCACTGTCATTCTGTTGATAAAAAATCAATCTTGAAGCACCTCCTAGTTTAAGTTTCTGATGGATCAAAGACATCAGATGGAACAAGAGAAAGAGATCCTATCATATGTTCACGACAATATTTTCTGTTTCTTTTCCACAGGTCCATTTAATGAAGCATCTCCACTCCCATCTTCTTCATCTTCCTCATCTTCTTCCTCATCTGGAAATTAACATATTTACATAAGGATTGTACAGCATTTTTCATGTTCATGCAGGTATGAACGCAAATCAATTACATACATATTCATGGCATGAAAATTAAACAAGAGTCCGGGAGGGACTGTATAGCTCACCTGAATATTTAAGCAATCATTGGCAAATGTTGTCAATAAAAGTAATTTTGCAAATATGTTTACATATTGAGTCTCCTTGGCTTAAGAATGTTCCAGACTAAATGACTGAGATGAGATCACTTTATCCATACTGAAGAAGAAATTGAAATTTTCTCTGGTTACCTCTATTAAACCCCATCCTGTCTCACTTTGGGATGTTAAAAGTAGGTCAAGGTTATTTATTGAAGGAAACTTTATAGCACTCAATCCCATGTACCTACTGGCCAAATATCATGATCCTAAGTCTTCCAGTTCTTAAGAAGAAGTTGTTCAAAGAAAGTTGACATACATGAACAGACGACACACCATGCACCATAAACTCAAAGTTAGACAAAGGCATTTCATGCCAGGTGAGCTAAACATTCTGTATACCTTATATATATTTAAATATCATTTTACATCAATGAAAAAAAAAACATAGAAATATATTTAAAAAAAATATATTCAGAGATCGATTCTCAGAGCATGAACATCGTTTTTTTCCAGATTTCTTGGGTGCGCAAAATATTCGAGTAGAAGCTTTTTTCCCGTTATTCAGCCTCAAAAAGTACCTGCGCAAATTACACAGGTGCGCAAATTACATGGGGTTTTACGGTAATCCTTATATTTTCATTTAAAATTTTGCTGTTATTATTTATCTATATACAGGTATTCACTTATATTTTCGCTTTCAAAGTGTTTGTATCGTAAGTGCAAACAAGATTCCTGGAACAACCTAATGTCAACAAAATGTTTGCTTCTTATGATTGTCACACATTATTTGAGGCAGGAGGAGAAGATTCAAAAGGATACTGATCCAATTGTGTTCATAGCCCTATAAAGACAATTTCTTCTAGAAAAAAATTAAGAAGAAAAGTTCTTACATGTAATACAGTAATAAAGAAATGTGTATTGTAAAACATTCTCTTGTTTAATAATTAGTACTTGACGTTACAACGGTTCTGCCAAAAGTGTAAATATTGTGCATTAATTATTGTAATTTATATTTACATGTAAATAAGGCATCTACTTTCGCTTTCAGTTACGACTACTGTGCAGTATACTCGTGTTACCGGTTTCTGCGCACTTAGGAAGCAACTGCAATTTCGTACTCATATCGGGAGAAAATAGTTGAAATTAAGAATGACTGTCATAAACATGTATGCAATCTACTAATGGAAACAAAAAACTAGCAACATAAAACTGTATTTCAAAAAAATCAGAACAAACAATTTTTTACATTTCTTCCATTGGAAGTAGCCGTCATATGTTTCTGTGTGTCTATTTTGATTTAGTGTTCAAAGAAAGATAACTCGAATACACTAAAAAGAAATTTTCTACAGTGACCTGCAAGAACAAAAGCTTCGTTTGGAATAAAAATAATAATCTTTGATCGTCAAATTAATTATGAAAACAATTTTCTTAAAATTTCACATTTTTCATTGATTATATTTTCAATGTCAACTTGAACAAATTCATGTAATTTTATAAATTTATTTATTTTATTTATTTAGTTATAATATAGAACCTGTCTTTTTTTCTATTCTGTAGTCTTATATCGGTTTTGGTTGATGGTAAGTTATTTCTCATTTGGGTCCTCCTTAGAAGCGTCTTCAAGCGTCTTCAAGTGACAACAAGCGTCGCCAGACAAAATCTTTAAAAATACTGAATAAAGTAAGCGACATCAGAAGATATGTTGTTAATATGACTATAATACACCTTTATACCAAATTTCAGTTGGATATTTGAACAAGAGGCCCTATGGGCCTGCATCGCTCACCTGGTATTAATCTCACAATTGTAACCTTAAAAGAGGGCTAAAATAAAGCTACAGGCAGAATGTCAACGTCTTGACTTAAAGTTTAAAGCAATTCAGAAAAAATGGGCAAAGGTCATTCATTTGAACAAACTTGATAGCCCTTCATCCCAGCATGTTACTGGCCGACTATTATCACCCTAGGTCTCTCGGTTATTCAGAAGAAGCCGTTTAAAGGTTTAAAACATATTTGACCCCATAGACCTTGAACATAAATCAAGGTCATTTATTCCAACAAACTTGGTAGCCCTTCATCCAAGCATGTTACTGGCCAAATATCATCACTCTAGGCCTCTCGGTTATTCAGAAGAAGCCGTTTAAAGGTTTAAAACATATTTGACCCCATAGACCTTGAACATAAATCAAGGTCATTTATTTGAACAAACTTGGTAGCCCTTCATCCAAGCATGTTACTGGCCAAATATCATCACCCTAGGCCTCTCGGTTATTCAGAAGAAGTCGTTTAAAGGTTTTAAACAAATTTGACCCCAGTGACCTTGAACATAAATCAAGGTCATTTACTTGAACAAACTTGGTAGCCCGTCATCCCAGCATGTTACTGGCCAAATATCATCACCCTAGGCCTTTTGGTTATTCAGAAGAAGTCGTTTAAAGGTTTTAAACAAATTTGACCCCAGTGACCTTGAACATAAATCAAGGTCATTTACTTGAACAAACTTGGTAGCCCTTCATCCAAGCATGTTACTGGCCAAATATCATCACCCTAGGCCTTTTGGTTATTCAGAAGAAGTCGTTTAAAGGTTTTAAACATATTTGACCCCTGTGACCTTAAATATAAATTCAAGGTCAGTTAATTGGACATACTTGGTAGCCCTTCATTTCAGCATGGTACTGGCCAACTATCATCACCCTAGGCCACTTGGATATTCAGAAGAAGTCGTTTAAAGGTTTTTAACATATTTAACCCCTATGACCTTGAACATAAATCAAGGTCATTTATTTGAACAAACTTGGTAGCCCTATATTTCAGCATGGTACTGGCCAACTATCATCACCCTAGGCCTCTTGGTTATTCAGAAGAAGTTGTTTAAAGGTTTTAAACATATTTGACCCCAGTGACCTTGAATATAAATCAAGGTCATTTATTCGAACAAACTTGGTAGCCCTTCATCCCAGCATGTTACTGGCCAACTATCATTACCCTAGGTCTCTCGGTTATTCAGAAGAGGTCGTTAAAAGGTTTTTAACATATTTGACCCCAGTGACCTTGAATATAAACCAAGGTCATTTATTTGAACAAAATTGGTAGCCCTTCATTTCAGCATGGTACTGGCCATCTCTCATCACACTAGGCCTCTTGGTTATTCAGAAGAAGTTGTTTAAAGGTTTTAAACATATTTGACCCCTGTGACCTTAAATATAAATTAAAGGTCACTTAATTGGACAAACTTGGTAGCCCTTCATTTCAGCATGGTACTGGCCAACTATTATCACCCTAGGCCACTTGGATATTCAGAAGAAGTCGTTTAAAGGTTTTAAACATATTTGACCCCAGTGACCTTGAATATAAACCAAGGTCATTTATTTGAACAAAATTGGTAGCCCTTCATTTCAGCATGGTACTGGCCATCTCTCATCACACTAGGCCTCTTGGTTATTCAGAAGAAGTTGTTTAAAGATTTTAACATATTTGACCCCTGTGACCTTGAAAAATGGTTGAAGGTCATATATTTGAACAAACTTGGTAGCCCTTCATCCCAGCATGCTTCTGGCAAAATATCATTACCCTAGCCCTTTTGGTTACTGAGAAGAAGTTGTTTAAAGTAAAAAGTTGACGCCGGACGGACGCCAGACACTGCACCATGCCATAAGCTCACTTGGCCTTCGGGCCAGGTGAGCTAAAAATTGACCGAGTTATTGTGAGGTAAGATATGTTGTTAATATGACTATAATACACCTTTATACCAAATTTCAGTTTGATATTTGAAAAATTGACCTATAAAGCAGGTCATGTAGTAACGAGATATAGCTTGATAAAATGGCTGCGCAGAAAAATATGAATAGACATTACTTAAAGGAATCACAACTAAATCAGCCAATTTAGCAAGACGTGTTTCATATGTTTGTAGTTCCTATCTAAAATAAGTTCCGGCTTATTACTGGGCCACTGAAGGAGTTTAATAAGGAACTGAAGACAGATTTTTAGGTAAATGAAATGTTCAGGTATTTAACTTTTGAAAATATATACTTTTGATATATTTCCATGTCTGTGTGCGGATTTGCACAGGGGCAAAATGTCTGGGGCGTTTCTGTTTTGGGTCACCGGTTTTGTAGCCTTTGCAAAGTATGTATTTATGAATCTAGTTGTCACTTGTTTTGAACTTCAAATATTAAAGTTATTATCTAAAATGTTTGGTAATAACATATAGTAAATGATTTAGTTGTGCGAGTCCTTAAGGGAAATAGCCATGTGCTCAATGAACCTGACCTCTCACACATTTTTTGTGTTTCCAGACACTTTTATTTAAAGACAGCCACTGTTATTGGGTCTTAGCACATTTTGTTCAGTATGTGAATATATAGATAACATGATAAAACTTAACAATTGGGTTAAATCTGGCTCTGTGCTAAGTTGGACTGACCCTAATACTCAGGTTTTTAATTAGGGTTGTGTTCAGTTTACTGAAATAATTGATCTGCATGTGTTTCAATAGTATTATAATGATCTATGTACTAGCTTTTAGCACCTGAATCTTCATAGAACAGAAATATAGTGTGCTGTCCTGCACAATTTTCACCACCCCTTCCCCTCCTTGTCAACTTCTTGACGCGGTGACACTCCAATATGCAACTAAACCTACCAAAAATGTCATTTCGTAGCATTTGCAAGGTATGTATTTATGAATCTTGACAGTTGTCACTGGTTTTGAACATCAAATATTTAAGTTATCATTTAAAATGTTCGGTAATAACATATAGTATATGATTTAGTTGTGAGTCATGAAGAATATATAGATCTAGATCCAGTTCGAAAAAGAAATGCCGATTGATATTTCAAAAACTTCTCACAGCACCTTACTAACATTTTGCACACGTAAGTCACATACCAATGGGCTTTATTCACAATAGCAAACCTACCTTCGGTTTCTCCAACATTAGCCTTTAGAGTTGTAGACCCACTGGAAGCCTTTTCTTCTTCAACTATGGTAGTTAAAAATGCATTTGATTCCTGCTGAACAGAACAGAGTACTTTGTGTAATGTAACAAAGTCTACACCGCCATTTGTGGCGGCACATGGCTTTACAAATTCAACTTGTTGGCCATTTCTAAGGCATAGTGTGAGTTTTACTTCGTTAGATGTTGACATTTCCATACTACACGTGTCCTAGACAGGATGTTAGCTACTTTTACTGCACATGCGTATAAATGAAATATAAATCCGAAACTGATTTGTGTCCTATCATTTGATTGGCTAATAGTTTTCCCGAACTTATTTGGATGTAAACACAGCAAAGCTGAGAGTACAGTAGGTAACAAAAGCTAACGTAGTTTGCCATAAAGTACTAATAATAGAAATGTAAATGAGAAGGAAAGGAACGCTTGAAATATGAAGATATATTTAGCTGCGTTCAAAATAAGTCTGCACATAAACGCATCCTGTGCTCTAATGCACTAGTCATAAATTAGTTGTATCTTAGTTCGAAAGTTTATTTTATTGATAAAATTATTTCTGTTATTCCTTTCAGCATCGTTACAGATGAGGAATCAAATCAAACAATGAGGAAAAAACACTAGATCGGCATTATCATCATTATTTTCTTTAATTTATGATGAGATGCCACACAATCATCATAATCGCATTAGTCCTGACACATGGTGTTCACACAAATTGTGTCCATGATGTAGTTCAGGCAGCAGATCCTGTAAAAGCCCAGGTTGTTTATCGGGAAAGTAAACCAGCTGACGATTTCATTCTTAGCAAATCAAAGAGGTCAACAAGTGTGAACTACTACCAGCCAATCAGATTGAAATTCTTCAGACTTGATTTTGATTTTGAACTGACCCAACAGGAAGGGACGAGAATCCAGAAAGCTCTCACAGATGCGATCACTTTCATAGAGGATACATTTTCTGGTACCTATGCATACTCCCATGTATATTGTTTATGTGTTATAATTAAATATGCATTTCCTTGTGAACAGTTAAACCTCCTAATGCTGAAGTAGCGATATCGATACGGACTATGAAAAACCTTTCAAGTAAAGGAGGTATTCAATAATAATAATAATAATAATAATTTGAGGTTCTTATATACTGCTTTATCACAACCTAGTTTGTAGGTCGTCTCAAAGCAGTTCACAAATTATTATGGCACACTTTTATGATTGAGTAGTAGTAACCAAAAAGCTTCATACATGTAATAACTTTTGATAATAATAATATAATAAATAATAGTTAGAGGTTCTTATATACCGCTTTATCACAACCTAGTTCGTAGGTCGTCTCAAAGCGGTTCTCAAATAATCCGTGGTTATAGGGTCTTTGCACCCAGCCAATATCTTTCTCAACTCCCTGGGGAGCATACAGCCGGAGCTGCCATTTCGGCACTAACAGCTAGCTAGCATTTAACAATTCTCGCACTTCCCAACCACGCACTCATTTACAGCTGAGTAGACTGGAACAAGCGGAGTAAAGTATCTTGCTCAAAGATACTTACACAGTGCTGGACCGTGACTCAAACCCACAACCCTTAGGTCACGAGCCCGGCGTACGCGTCCTACCACTAGACTACTGTGCCTCCCCCAAGATATCCATATACTTATATAAAAATAAGATGAATACTATTAATTTATGTCAACTAATGATTGCAGAGGTAAAACAGATATTCAGAATAATCAACAATGCTATTGGATCATATAACAACTTAAAGCTAAAGGATGTTTTCAAGATATACAAAGAAATAATTAAGCTGTCATTGGTCCTAAAATTACTTCAGGGTTTTACATAGAGAGTGACCGGTAGTGGCCGGTACATTCTACTCATCACGTTTAAAAGTAGTCTGTTAACTAAGTGGAAAGAGTAAATATCTATGTGACAATTGTAAATTGAAAGAAACTAATTACTATAGGGTTGTCACAATACGCCAAGAATGTATCACGATATATTGCAATACAGAATGAATATATTACAATACGTATCCCAATATATTGTCATAGGAAAGATATGCATGCTCTATTTTATAATAAGTTGTAGGCAGAATGTTATCAAACTTACTCGTATATAATATGGATCACATATAGATTTTAAGTTTTTTGTCAAACCAACCATCGATTACAAAATTTGAACCAATTCCCACCACTATTAAAAGCCTGTTTTATGCTTATTGGCATATCTGTTAGAATTTGTAGTAATTTGCAAAGTTAAAACACCAAGCAGAATGATCAAGATACAAAGAAATAAGCTTTTAAAAAAAATATTGCAATACAGCAATACTGGTATTTTATCTCTGTATTGTGGTACGATACTTTATACCAGTGTATTGCGATATTATACCTGTTTTCCGATATATTGTGACAGCCCTACTAATTATATATATAATTACACGCTTATATATAAATATGTGAATAATATAACATTACAAGACTTAAAGTTCGCTTGTTAAAAGCCCAAGAAGGCAGAAAGGCCATAGCAGTCAGTCTTTTACATTTGTTACATATATTTTATTCAATATTTTCCTTTGCAAGAACTTGCTTCTTTATTATCTACTACCTACTGTAAAAGCATAATATTTCGTTGGGGATTTTATTTCGTTATAAAACCACAAAATATAATCCAAACAAAATTTTAAGCACACAAAATATAAACTAAACGAAAATATGAAATAAACTATTAATTTAATTACAAATCCATGCTGTATTTTCATTTAGGCCCAAGTCATGATAAACGTGTGTTGAGGTAATCTTGAATATTTATGAAATGCATGCTCGTTTTCTTATCAGAATTGGTGTTATAACATGTCGGTAGACCTAATTATTTTCATTTTAGATAGCTGTTAATTAACTACCACACATGTTTGTTTAGACTAAATTGTATGACCATCGAGCGATAGTCGATCTATTGTTTTCCACCGACTCACTACAGGGGTGAAGCGAGGTGTGAAAAATTCACCTGGGGTGGACAGGTGATCACCTCTGGCGATGTAACTGTTACAGTTAGCCGGAAATATTGTCTTATTGAACTGTGTCGTGATGCCTGTCAAATTTAACTTCTTACTTACCATAAAAAATACGGAGTTTTAAAATATTGATTCCATGAAATATAATCCCAACGAATTTGTCCCCAAACAAAAACTGTATATTGTATATAATTATAATAGTCTGTAAGCAGTTTGTTTTCTTTATTAACAGAATACAGAATACAAAAATTGTTTCTGAAAAGACTGGATATGATTAAAAGTCCATCCACAACAAAATTTGCATGAGGTCATCACACATTTGTACCTTTGCATGTTGTTTGTTAGATGTATCAGTTTTGCTTCAGACATTTCTTTAAGTAGGATGAATGGCATATTCAATGTGAATTCTTCTTAATGAGTTCATTGTTCACCGTTATAATTTCAGTGGTAAGAGTTGATGGCCGTCTGCTACTCAAAAGGACAGGTTGTCAAAAGACATGGCATGAAGAACCGAATGCTGGAAAGTAAGGTGGCATTATTGGAATGAATCATAGTATTAGGTTATAAATCACTTACCCTTGCTTGACATAATTAACAAACATTTGTTTACAGGGGTTTTGGTTATCTGATGACCATACTGACATTTTCTGTAATACAAGCATATATCTCACAGACAAATTTAGAAAAATTCTACAACCCTGTCAAATATCGTCAGTACAAATGTAAATTTTGAAATTTCACTAGACTTGACAGAAAATCTTCTATCTCTGGTCACCTGCAGGCTAATTGAAACCTATACCTGTGTATGTACTGTATGTGCAAGTTGAGTAATTTAAATGATCATTTAACCCAAGTTACTGGTTTCTTCTGCTTGCATTGTGATATAATGACCAAAGCTGTCAACGTATAGGATCTCAATCAAGTTTCCACAAACTAGGGTATTCATGACACAAACTTGGGTATTCATGACACAAACTAGGGTATTCATGACACAAACTAGGGTATTCATGACACAAAATAGGGTGTTCATGGCACAAAATAGGGTATTCATGAAGCAAACTTTTCCAACAATCTAAAATAACATATTTTTCACAAATTCAGTTATATATGTATTCGATAAAAAAAGAAAAATTATACGTACTTTCACTGCCAATTCTTGATTTCTTACCTTTTGATATGACATTAGACAACATTACGATACTGGTATAGAAACTGATATAGACGACATTACGATACTGGTATAGAAACTGATATGGCATTAGATGATTTACGATACTGGTATAGAAACTGATATGGCATTAGACAACATTACGATACTGGTATAGAAACTGATATGGAATTAGACAACATTACGATACTGGTATAGAAATTAAACTGATATGGCATTAGACGACATTACGATACTGGTATAGAAACTGATATGGCATTAGACAACATTACGATACTGGTATAGAAACTGATATGACATTAGACGACATTATGATACTGGTATAGAAACTGATATGACATTAGACGATAATGGTATAGAAACTGATATGACATTAGACGATAATGGTATAGAAACTGATATGACATTAGACGATAATGGTATAGAAACTGATATGACATTAGACGATAATGGTATAGAAACTGATATGACATTAGACGATACTGCTATAGAAACTGATATGACATTAGACGACATTACGATACTGGAATAGAAACTGATATGACATAAGACGACATTACGATACTGGTATAGAAACTAATATGACATTAAACGACATTATGATACTGGTATAGAAACTGATATGACATTAGACGACATTCCGATACTGGTATAGAAACTGATATGACATTATACGATACTGGTATAGGAACTGATATGACATTAGACGACATTACGATACTGGGATAGAAACTGATATGGCATTAGACAATACTGGTATAGAAACTGATATGACATTAGACGAGACTGGTATAGAAACTGATATGACATTAGACGAGACTGGTATAGAAACTGATATGACATTAGACGAGACTGGTATAGAAACTGATATGACATTAAACGACATTTAGACAACATTACGATACTGGTATAGAAACTGATGTGGAATTAGACAACATTACGATACTGGTATAGAAACTGATGTGGAATTAGACAACATTACGATACTGGTATAGAAACTGATAAGACATTAGACGACATTACGATACTGGTATAGAAACTGATATGACATTAAACGACATTACGATATTGGTATAGAAACATATATGACATTAGACGACATTATGATACTGGTATAGAAACTGATATGACATTAGACGACATTACGATACTGGTATAGAAACTGATATGACATTAGACGA